TAAAAAGAAAGCAAAAATTATTAGTCACAAAAGTAGCAAAAGATGAAAGATAAATGAACAGAGTATATCAATGATATACCTTTGTGTCTTCAAAAACATCATCTTGACTAGCACGCATGTCAAATACGCGATCATATATGTGTTGCTTTCTTTTGTCATCTTTCCATGGATGTTCAACTGTAAACTCATCCATAGTTGTCAGCATTTGTTTCTCCCTCTCAGAACTCTCTTTTTCATTTAGAGGTCTTATACGACAATAAACTCTAATCTTGCCCTTCATATCTACAATATGTACAAACAAAAATAACTCTAAGAAAAATCCAAAAAATCAGCTATGAATCTCGTTGTAAATACTTGAGCATGTGTTACCTTCTATGGTATTATAGTATCTTTTCCTTAGTACTTGTTCCTCCTTATATAGTATTTCTAGCTCCGCAAGTTGGGCTCCTTGCATCTTCAAAATGGCAGCTGTTTGCTCATTCTTTCTGTCAATGTCCTAAGAACATGGAAATGGAATGCAAACACCCCAGCTCTAGTTTAATTTTCTTTTTAACACTAAACCATGGAATTACATTATCATCATCTAAACAGAAACAAAATTAAAGCGAGAGGACTAAAAAGTACCAATGTACCTCTTTCATTTCTCTTAATTCCTCAAGTTCTTTCAAGTTATTTTGCAACAGCAGCATGTCAGAATTCTTACTTTCAATCTTAGACTCAGCACTATCCAAGTCTTGAGTAACGACTTCAAGCTTATTTTCAAGCTCAGACACTCGAAGCTTTAACACCTTTCTTTCTTGTTCATATCTTCTCTGATGAATTTCAACCTGAAATCTTGAATTGTCAACAATACACAAGTATTTGCTACGTCTCAATGTGAAACCGGCCATGAATCTAATACACAGAATTCACCTCCTCTGTTTTCTTCTTTTCGATATTGAAAATGCTTTGCTCCAACATCTTATTCTCACTCAACAACCTCTTTGAATTTTCAACTGCAATGTGCAATTCCTTATTCCGAACTTCTAATTCGTTTTGGAGCTTGTACAATATCTGTGACATAATATCCATTGTTGAAGAAAAAACAGCATCGCTTACAAAGAACAGCATAAATAATCAATGATCAAAGCATGCCGCCTATGAATTACATTAAAACACAAGATATTCACCTGATTATTCATTTCCGCTAAATCTGATTTTGTCTCCTTACTTGATTTTGTGTTGCCTGACTTTGCCAACCTTGCTTCCATTCCTCGCAGTTCAGACATCATGGTCTAGAGCATATATAGAATGAATACAAAAATAACTCCAACCAAGCATCAAAACGAAGAGCAAGTTGTGTTATAACTAACTTGAATAGTTGTCCCTTTCTCGTCACAAGATGACTTAAGTTTATCACGATCTAAGGTAACTTCCAACTTTTTTTTCGTTTCAAGCTCCAAACTATTGCGTATAGCTTCTAACTCCTCACGCAGACAAACTTCTAGCTGATTTTTCTCTTGTAATTCATCCATCAACTATAGAACAAATAAAACATTGTAAAAGTTCGTTAGCATTCAACTCTAAAAAGAAAATAGGTTGGGAATTAACATCCTACCTACAATAACATGAAAATTGCAAGGAGGGGGTGATATGTACTGGAATATATCACATTGCCAACCATAAAAACAAGCATGAAAACAACCAAGAAAATATCACCTATAATATGCTATTTCATGTTTTCCAACAGATACAACCTTCCCTCTATAAATTAAATTTTACATGAACAAGATACATGAAAACTAATTAACTATTTACCTTATCAATCTTCTTCTGGGACTCTTCAAATGCCTTAGACAAATCTTGCACACGTTTTTCATATACTTCGAGATTTTGCGGCTTCGAACTGCAGGATATATCTCCATTAACCAAACTATTGGCAGCCGATCGAGCTTTGGAGTAACGACGCAACATAACATCATTTATATGTGTTTGTAAAGCAACACATATTTCTTCTCCCTATAAACAATAAAACATCGGTTCACCTTTACAAGTTGCCCAAATCGAATATCCTGTTAAGGATTACTTTAATATAACGAACCACAAATAATGATGACTGAACCTGTTTTGTCTCAAACTGAAATATGTGAAGAACACCGGCGACTCTCATTTTGAAAAAGACAGCAGTGTTACTGCTGCCAAATTGCATTATGTCACGTAATTCAGCTGAGTGCAGATATTCTTTAGGAACCGGTCGAAAAAAATGAACCTACAAAAAAAAAAGAATTCAAACCCAACAAAATACATTTGAATTTCAAACAGCAATAACAGATTTTTTTTAAGAGTCATAATGTATAGCATCTTCTGTGACACTGACCCCACGTTTGTTGATTCCCAAAATGATTCGCCCAGGTAAAAGGCCAATCGGATCATCTATCTTGCGTACACTAAAAAACACTGAATTCCCATATGGCAGTGCCTTCAATATCCGTAGAAATTGATGTCTTGCATCATCTTTGGTCACATTCTCCTACATTCCCACGAACACAAATACGAAAGATCACGTTAGCATGCTAACACTTAAATGGTATTGTATTTGACAAAGGTAACTAAAAAGGGAAAGATACTACTAAATGACTTGCATGGGGTCATTCCTACCATCGAACGGTATCGAGCAAGGATATCCAATTCCCATTCACGCTTTGCTCGGGTTATTGCTATCTGTCTCGGCAAAAACCGCTCAAGAAGTGATGTCCAATCACTGATACGTGACCCAGTGAGAAAGAAAATGATGTTAAACGGAACATTACACAGAAGAAAGCATCATTAATAAGTTTAGAAAACTAACATGCATGATTCCGGACTATTGACAAACCCGATCCCAACAAGAATTTGCAAGGCACAAAGCTGAGCAGCATCGTCCCTTCCAACAGGATAATTTCCTAGCAGATAGTCATGTTGCAACTACATGTATGTGTGTCAGCAAGGAAAGGCAAGTTTTCGTGTGAAAAGAAATACGTCACTAGTGAAGAAAATGCTCACTTGTACATAGGAAAGTTGCACAAACATCAGATCTGTTACAGCTTCATCGGACTCTCGGAATAATTTTTTTTTAAATACCAGTTTGCAGTGTAGTATCTCTCCTTTATTTCTATCCCTTATAGCTTTGAATTCTGCGAGGAGATCTCCAATATACTTGTTATCATCCAATCCTATATATTCCTCTGCAAGTGCCAGATAGAGAAACAATCAATAATGTAATAGTACCATTAATCCATTATTAATGATCGATAAGTCATTGAAAGCATACCATTCCCGGGATCAGATGATTTCGAACTTGAAACAACTTTACGACATTCAAACAAACTGAAGCTAGAGAAAGCAGATAGTTTAATTGTCCCAGCTAGCTCCTGACACGGATATGTCAATGCAGTGAGAGAGGTTCAACCAAAAACAAAAAGGGACAGATGAAAGAAAACAAAATGCTTGAACAAGCTAGTTAGAACGAAAGCATTAATAATTCTAACACCAAATAATGAAAAAAGAAATAATGAAGATACCTCAACAGCATCAGACACTGTTGTAGCCATGTCATATGATATTTCTTCAAAAGTTTCATCCAGAAAGAAGACTATGGTTGTGAGCTTTCTACCAGTCAAAAGGGCTTCAATTTCTTCACGTCCAGGTGTGGCATGCCTAGGACCAGCCTTGATAGAGCGCTTTAATGCCTTGGAAGTATTTACGGCAAGAACCTGGGCCTCAGGTTCAATTGTTGCATCGTGAGCCACATTATGAATATACTCAGATAGATAACCACCGATATCTTTGCTGGGAGGCATTGAGGACGCACATAAGTACATCAATTCCCAAGCTTTTATCAAGCATTGCCTGACGTTATTCCCAAAAAAAAAGGGGCAAAAGTAAGAGAGATGGTAAGAGCTTAATGCATATAACTCTCTAATTAGAATCTGCAGGAGAGAGAACAACGGGAGGCACCTGTCAGGGTTATGTCGAGTTTGCTTGGAGATTTGGGCAAAAAGTTCGTCCCTGAGTTCAACACGCTTCAGGGTTTTCTTGAAGAGCTTTCCAACAAGCTCAATGCGTTCATCTAAACTGGGTGGCGTTGATCGATCAGATGAATCAACGCCCATATACTTTAAGATGAGATGAAACAACTTGGTAGCACGGCTGACGAGATCGCTGTTTATCTTGAGGAGGGATGTGGGGATGGGATCCTGAAGACATTACTACATATAAGCACACAAGAGAAGCAATGGATTTGCTTATAAACAGCGAATCAAACTGCAGCAGAAAGGGAAAATACCTTCTGAAAGCAAAGCATATCCTCGAAAGTGAAGCGCTCGCGGACATGAGAGCCCGACGACTTTTTGGAATAGAAGAAGCCACGCTTGCCAGCAGACTGGATTTGCTTCTGCATAAGCCGCAGAAAAGCTTCAACCTGGAAGCGATCGATGAGGGGAATGGCGGCAGCGAGCTCGGCAGGAATTGACAACGCCGCTTGAGGAGCTGGGGAGCTGACAAGAGTAGTACCGTTTCAAAATTCAGAAACCAGAAGAGGAAGAAGAAGAAGAAGACGAAGAAGACGAAGAAGGAGCAAATACTTACAGAGGAGGAAGAGAAGACGGTTCGGCATCGAAGTCGGTGCCAGACGGATTGGGAACATAAAAGCAAGAAGAAGAAACGTCGGCGGCGACTTCATTGCCATTGCCAGAGCTCAATGATGAATTACTGCCTCGCTGGCCCTCCATTTTCCCCAGAAATAAAAGAGAGATTGTAGATCTGAAGGACAATTTGCCCAGAAAATGTGGGCAGAGAAAGAGAGAGACGAGAGTCACGGGAGATTTTTAATTGCCTTTTCTTCCTCCCATTCAATACTTGACGATTGAGCTGATTTTTTGCTAATTCCTTGTTTAGTTTAAGAAGATGAAGAAGTTAATCCAAGGAATCACTCGCCCGCGTCCTTGTGTTGTTGATGTGTTGTTGTTTGTGTTGAAACCAAATAAATGAATTGATAATTGATAAACAAAAGAGACGTGCCTCCACGTCCATTGGCCATGGTTGTGCCCTCCAACACCATTAACAAATCTTAACATCTGCTTTGGTGTCATCTACGAATACAATAATCCTTTCTTCTTATTCGTCTTAATCTGCTTTCGCAATATTATGTATATACTGTACATAAATATGCAAGGCCCATTCAACACAAGCGTTGTTACATTTATTTTCTTTTTCAGACCTCAACCATAGTGCTCCATCACCACCTCCACACTTCACAGTTTTGCGATTGCTGAAGCAGGCAAGTTTTTCCTTGCTGGAAGCTTTAAATCCTCACATCCCTCCACTCTCTTAAAGTAGTGCTCTACCATGCTATCCTTCATGTCCTCCAGTCGCCATGGCTCCCACTGTGATTTCAGTATACGGCATTATATCAACAAGTATGATTGACATCACCACAAATACTAAATGCAGAGAGATTTTTGTTAAACCGTACCTTTGGCTTCTTATCTTTGTCTATCAATATGGCTCTGCACCCCTGCATAAGTAAGACATTGACCTTGTAATTACCATCTGCAACAATGACAGTTTCAGGAGGAAGATACTACAATCGGGAAAGCTGACAAAACACCTCCACAAAATCATTGCTTATTTCTCCCTTCATCACATGACACACCATTCTATACTCACGGATAAGACACTGCCCCACCCCCTGCAATCTTCCTTCTCTTATCTGAAATATATACACACAGTCAGCTCTTTCCCATCATTGCTTGTGATGATGCATTCCTAAAACTCACCGATTTAAGAGAGATTTTCAGGCTTGCTGGTGAAGCCTTTTTCAATGCTCCAATGGTAGCTAAGATCCAATCATCGGCTTCATGACTGGCCTCCCTCTCCTAATTAACACATATGATGGATGGTAGATTGCATTGTCAATGGTAATCCAGTCAACTCAGGATCGCAACTCAACATGTCTTGTATTTAGATGGAAAAGTTACCAGTGCACACATAATTTCTTCGACTGTTCTCCCCGAGAAGCACTTATCAATAACATCTAACCTGCGTAAAGAAAGAAAAAACAAACAGAAAGATAGGAAAGATATGTCCTCTGCACTCTTTGATCCGCACAAATTTTCCATTGAAGTTCTAATTAGAAATGGATTTTTTAAAAGCGATTGAAAGCTGACACCAAAACAAAGTTGAAATTATTTTCAAAACATGTAATGTAATCATGACCGATAACAGAGCAAATAGTTTAGCACATAACCTAGAATGCAAGGGAGTTTGGCATGACAAAAGATATTCGAAAACTTCAGGTACAATAGACAGAGTAAAAGAGATAAAATCGTATACACTTGCCTGTGGTAAGCACTCTGCTGTTTCAGGTGTGGATGCTGAGTGTATCCATCGAGAATTGTTGAGGCAAAGGTTGGGTCAGTTGAATCAACTCTGGAAAGATCTGCTTCTAGAGCAGTCAACCTCTGTGACAAGGAGTAACCTGACTAAGAAACAATCCTAGGCGACGCAACTAGTACTTGACACTAAGAGCTATAAAAAAAATTCATTCAAAATCTCATAGAGACAATAAAAAAATTACATGCTGCAATTTTGGTTATGGAGACTTATAAGCTATAACAGTAGACACAAACCATTACGCTGGAGAAAAGAAGCACGCTGAACAAGACTGTTCCAAAGACATATAACTATAGTGCAAGACACGACAAACACCAGTCCTTGGCAAGAAAAATGCCAAACAGAGAGACAATTTCTTACAGAGCATCCCTCTGTCCATTGTGCCAGTTCAACTAAAACCCCACAAGAGGTTATGCATCACTTCCATTAGTCCAAAAACAAAAACAATCGCATTCTAGATTTTAGCATGTCAAGTAGCTAACATTTCGGCGATGGGAAATACGAAAAACGTAAGCAAAGGAAATTCATACCGCTGAAGGCACAAAATGAGTTGCAAGACCACAAGCAAGCATTTCGGCGCCATCTAACCTAGCACCTGTGAGGCCAACATACTCTCCTGAACAAGAAGACAGCAAGGATGAGAGAGGTAGATAGCCTCAAACTTGTGTGGGTTTTAAGGATATGCAAAACCAAATGACTTTTGTTACCAAAAAACCCAGGGAGCCTTGAAAGGAAATAGGAGGCGCCTACATCTGGAAAGAGCCCCAAAGCTGTCTCAGGCATGGCAAAAACCTTGGAGAAACTCAAATGATATGAGTATATTTCAGAGCGATCAATTCGTCATCCATGGACATCATTAAGAAAGAAAAAATACCGTGTTCTCAGTTGCAATACGAAACCGACCATGGACGGAGACACCAGCTCCGCCTCCCATGACAATACCATCCAAAATTGAAATCTATGATTTCGAAAAGGTAATGGAAAATGAACAAATGAGCTTATACACTTTTGAGTAATTCACTAAAATGACAGTATGATGAGACCTGAGCTTTACTATACGTGGCCATAACATAGTTGAGCATGTATTCATCTGAGAAGAAATTGGCACCGAGTCTCCAGTTGCCTAAGTCCACGAAAATAGAGAAAGAATGAGTAGAATAGAAGCTGAAAGTAAGAGAAGGCAAAATAAAGGTGGAATACCTTGTCGGATGTCATGAACAACAGCTGAAACATCGCCACCAGCACAAAAGGCTCTTCCCTGACCCTGTGGAAAGGCTATTATTATTCTCATTGTGTGCAAACGGAAGAGATAAAAAGATAGTGACTACCTTTAGGATGACAAGTTTTACGCTAGGGTCCTTCTCATGTGCAAGGAACAGTTGCAGCAACCGAGAGATCTAGAGAAGATTTGATTCAATTCAAAGCCAAGTAAGTAACTAAAGACAAGAAGGGGAAAGATTCAGTACCATATGGAAGGACAGAGCATTCAGCTGCTTTGGTCTGTTTAGTGTCAAGATTCTAACACTCGATTTCTCTTCCACCAAAACCTGTGACCAATTGAATCAGAGAGAAAATAATTGATCGTCGTCGATTCGCAGCGAAGAAGAGAAAAGAGAGACCTGAGAGTGAGAGGCCATCTCGACTGCTGTCGCCTTATTCTTCTCTTCTTTCTGTGGTAACCTCACAGACGTACGCCAGAGCAGCCAGCAACGAGATCCAAAGGAAAATATTTATTTCTTCTTCTTCTTCTTTTTTCTAATGGCTAAAATCCTTTCCTATCACCTTGTTTCAGGAAAATGATGTTGAATTTTCTGATTTTTTTCTTATATAGAAATCAATTGGGCTTTTAACAATGGGCTTTGTTTTAGCGAAATGGAGCTTTCAATTTCTGTCTTTGCAATTTTGTCAACATATGTTTCAAAAGAGGTTAAAATGATATGATTGGAATTAGGACTAACTACTTCAGAAATTCGGATGTTGGACAAAATAAAAATGTAAAACTTGAATAGAAGATATTTTTCGTCCAAAAAAAAAATAACAGAAAGATATTTCTTATTCGATGAATGGCTGAATACACAGTATTTTTTTATTACAAGAGTAGAATTATGTGGTGTCTCAGCTAGGGTATTTTTGAACCAACTTACTAGGATCTGATGCGTCAAGTTAGTAGTGGTAGGGATCCTCTTTTTAGTTTATAGCAAGAAAAAAAAAATCATTTCTTGTCGCTCTACTTTTTTTTTTAATACTACGTACAGTATATTGCTTTGGAATTGATGTCGTATTTAAGTCCATTAATCCACATTGAAATCCTTGTGATCACCTCGCATTCTATAGATATCGATTAGTCATCATTACTTGTCTCAGTTAGCTTGTTTTCATCCGCTTTTATCTTTAAAGTTATGGACTTGAGCGAGATGAATAACCGATTAACAATATTCAACATTTTCCCATCGAGTTGTTCTCTTGAATAACCAACAAACTTGCAAGCATTTTTTGTGACTGTGGAATTATCTGAACCCAATCCTTTATTTGCAAAAGGAGTTACTGTGGAATGATCTCTTTCACATAAATCAAAAGAGAGAACAAAAACCGATTGATGAAATTATGTTTTCTATTTCTGAATCTTCGTGTCTAGGTTACACTTTGTTTATGTAGAAGATTTCAAAAAAGAAGGTTGTAATAACGAAACGGACATGTGCAAATTTTTCCTAGCTAGTGGAACAAGAAAGACATGGATTATACATGCAATCAGATATCAACATGTACATAGCTAATCTATGCTCAAGAGTGTATATCGAAACCATTATTATCGCAGGTTCTTAGCAGAATTTTTTATATGATTTTTTTAATTAAACTAAAAATTAAATGCGATTTTGTTAAAAACTGATTCTTATTTGGAACACTTGAGAGCATGTTTCTATCTTTCATTGGTCAGAAAATTTTCTCTTCCTTTCTATTTTTTCTTTCTTCCCTAGCAATTTCTGTCTTATTCTCTTTCTCTTCTTTTCTTTTTCTCCAAATTTAATAATTAAAAAACTACTAAGAAACTCATTGAAGGTTTTGGCGATAATAATGTTATAGACTACGCAGCATCAGAGAATCACCTTGTCTACTTTGCTTTGCGACGGATTCTAATTGCTTGTTGTCAATTGTGTGTCGAAGGTAATATATGGGAGTTGGGCTTCTAACTTGTTCAGAGGCTTTCTTTACACAGTCTGCACTGGACATTAGAAAGAATTTATATTTTTCTTAATTACTCATCAAGATATAACGAACACGCTATAATTTTTTCTTTGGGGGCAAAACACGTTATATATTACAAGCGGGAAAATAGGCTTAGAGCGGGGGCACATGTTTACAACGAAAACCATTTTTTCTGACTTTTTTCCTTTTTGCGAATCCAATTTTCCAGCTTTTGCGGGTTGCCCAACCTCCCCCGCACAAAGTGACACGTGGGGAGCAGATTAATCATTAAAAAAGTCTGCATTTTGAAAATTCTCAACAACACAGCCTCGGAAAGTCAGAAGTCCTAGCTTTTTGATATTATGTAGTTGAAACACGCATAAGCAAGCAATAGCCGGGAAAGAGATGGAAGGAGTAAGGAGACGATGGCCAAGTGGCAAAGGAATCAGGGTTACCCCAAAGACGAAGAGATTGCGTAAGAGAGTGAGAGGCTTCTTCAGGTTATTGAGGAGCTGGTGCTGCAGAAGGCGACCACTGGTCAGAGAAGACGATCTTTATTACACACCTCTACGATGCTCTAACTCTTTCTACGCCGATGCAATTGCAGACTGCATTGACTTCATCAAGCGATCCAGCTGACCGCTTCCTAGCTATATGATTCTTTCTTCCATTTGTACCGGATGATTTCTCTGCAATTATACACTCTTTCCTCGGGTTATATGTATGTATGTATGTATCTTGATTCTTGAAGGTGGAAAAAAGATGTATGTATCTTGAATTGATGATCCCGTTCTTTTTCTGTAAAACAATTTTGGACATCAACAACCCACCCCCCCGCCCCGGTATTGATTGATTATGGTCGAAATCAGGTGGGGTTATCATGGGCTTATAAGAGGCCTTATAAACTATTCCCTTAACGCCATATATATAATCGTAAGAGGCCTGTTAAAAGCCCACGTAGTGTTTCAGATCCCTTTCCTTTCCTTTCCTTCATCGATTCAACGCGTCTGAGTCTAGATACTCTCCGGCGAGAATAGATGGAGGAATACCCGGAAGAGCTCAGGACGCCACCGGTAAGTTTGGCGGCTCTCTTCGGATACTCGGAGCTACACGCGTCCATTAGTAAGCATCTCCACTCCCAGCAGCCTCCCATCAACGCTCTCGCCTTCCCAGACTTGTCCCATCTCTCTCTCCTCCTTGCTCACGATGATCAAATCAACCGAACCCCTTCCTTCAGAGATCCCCTCAGCGTCTCTGATTCCTCTCCTCCCACTCCTTCCGGATGCGGCGGCATCTTGAAACGGGACTGGTTGCTAAAGCATCGCACCAAGGTTCCTGCACTTGTCGCCGCCTTCTTTCCCTCACATCACATATTCGGCGATCCAACTCAATGGCTACAGGTCTGCTCCGACCTCGACAACCTCAAGTACTTGTTCATCTCTCTGATTTACATCCTTTTTTTTTGTTTTGTTTTGTTTCAAAACCTCACATTAACAATGCGATCCACATTGCCAGATCCGTTATCCGTCCCAAAAACATCAAACTGGTGGTGGTCGTGGTCCAGTCTTCTCCCCAGGGTAGGAGGTTTTCTCCGAGTTTTTTTTTTTTATTTATTTCCCATTTCTAAGGAATATCCTCCGTGCTTACTCTTTCCCGACTTCATCTAGAGGAAATTAGCGAAGATCGTCTAGTGGCATTGCGAAAGCGGGCAGAATTGGATTCTAAATACGTGCTCTTCGTCAATTCAAGCATAGACTCTGAACTCACTCTCTCTCTCTCCAGGCATGTTTCTCTCCTCTTTTCCTGTTTTCTATTTTGCACCTACTACAGGAAACAAGAGGCTTTTCCAACGATGCCTCTCAACGCAATATGTTTGCAGAATTGCTTCTGCATTTGCAGAGTTGGCTCTTGCGTATTACAGAGAAGAAGGAAGGAGAATCAAAAGTCGGATTGAGAAAAGGAGTTCCCATTCTCTTGATTTGAATGTTCGCTACTGTTTCAAAGTAAGCTGTTTCATTACCTCTGCTAAGTCGAATCATTTGTTTCAAAGTATCTCGGAAAAGGAAGGCTCATTCATGCCATGACTGCTAGGTCGCTGTTTATGCAGAATTTCGTAGAGATTGGGGTGAAGCATTGAAGTTTTATGAAGACGCATATCATTCCTTGCACGAGGTCTTTTTCATCACTATTTATTTCGTTTTTTCGCACCCTTCTGTCACGCTGATGTGTTCTAATTCTACTGGAGAAGTTTTTTTTAATGCATATATAGTTACTGCTTTTTTATAAGGTTATGTATATTTGTCCACAGTTTGCATGTTGACGAGCAGTTTTTTTTATGCACACAGATGATCGGAACTTCAGCCAGGTTGCCTGCGATACAACGGTTGGTCGAGATTAAGACCATAGCTGAGCAATTGCATTTCAAGATTTCAACGCTTTTGTTGCACGGTGGAAAGCTCATAGAAGCGGTGACATGGTTTCATCAACATAAATCATCATATGAGAAAGTTGTTGGATCCACAGAATTTATTTTTCTCCATTGGGAATGGATGAGTAGGCAATTTCTTGTCTTTGCTGAGTTGCTGGAGACAAGCTCAGCAACTGTTCAGAGCTTTTCATCCCTGAACCAAAGAACTACAGAAATATCTTTGACTGAGTTTGAGTTTTATCCTGCCTATTATTATCAGGTCAGTCAATTATTCTTTATGTAACTCGTAGTCAAAACATAATCTACACTTGGTGATGCATTTAGTGCTATATTTTTTTGTGTATTTACCATTTTTCTTGAACAAGGCTGTATATAATAAAACATCTATCTTGATGCAAACGCTGGAATTTTCATCCATTATTTGTTCCCCCTTTCTAAAAATTTTCTGAACTCATTCTGTGCCTAGTATTGTATGTTGAAAGTATAATATGTTCTTATCCACTGGAAAAAAAATTCTTTCTCCCCGCAGTTGGCTGCTCATTACTTGAAAGATAAGAAATCTACCCTAGAACTGTTGTTGTCAATGTCCGTTACAGCTCAAGAGATTGACAGCAGCTCTGAGTCCGTTATTCCTTCGGTCTATGTGGGTCAGTTTGCTCAGTTACTTGAGAAGGGAGAAGCCTTTACACTTCACTCGTAAGAATTTCATTATTCACAACTCTGTGTAAAAAAACTTAACTAAGTTACCCCTATTACGGTATGATTTTCTAATATTTTTGCAGTATAACGGATGAAGAGTACATAAGGTACACAATTTCAGAAGCAAAGAGATTTCAGGATTCCTTTGAAATTGTTGCTTGGCTGAAGAGATCTTATGAATCGTTTACCAACCTTAAAGCCCGGAGAATGGCTGCTCTTTGTGCATTTGAAGTAGGCCGGGAGTACTTTGGCTTGTCTGATCCTAGAAATGCAAAATTCTTTTTCGATATTACTGCAAACTTGTACAGACAAGAAGGTTGGGTAACCTTGCTCTGGGAGGTGCTGGGTTACCTGCGAGAGTGTTCGAGAAAACTTGGTGCTTATAAAGAATTTGTAGAGTTATCCCTTGAAATGGTTGCACTGCCTGTAACATCTTATGGCGATTCTGGGAACTTGGAAAACGAAAAATATGGTCCTGGAGGTCCTGCGACTATTTCAGGAAGAGAAAGAATACATCGAGAAATTTTTACTCTTGTGTGTCGTGAAGATGAGTTGACATCATCTACCGGAGAAAGTGGGTTCAATTTAGCCATTGATAGCCCTCTTGATCTTGAAATTGATCTCGTCAGTCCTCTAAGACCTGTTCTCCTAGCTTCGGTTGCTTTTCACGAGCAAATGATCAAGCCTCGTGCTTTGTGCTCTATTACGTTGTCACTGCTTTCTCATCTACCTCTCCCAGTCGATATAGATCATCTAGAAGTTCAGTTCAATCAATCTACGTGCAATTTTGTCATCAGGAATTCCCAAAGGCCTCTTTGGGATTCCGCGTCTAACACTGTGCAAAGGGGTGGCCAAGTAGAGAATGAGCCGTCGCTGGTGCTTGTGCCGAATAATTGGTTAAGGTTGACATATGCAATCAAGTCTGGTTAGTGTGATTTAATTAAAAGGGTGTTGTTTGTAGACATACTTGCACGTATTGCAGTATATTCATGGTTTTGCTTGGCTTTCAGGATTTATTTGCCTAACTTTTCTCGCATTTCTTTTTATCATCTGCAGAGCAAAGCGGCAAGCTTGAGTGTCTTTCAGTTCTTGCGAAATTGGGGCCTTTTTTCACGATCTGTTCAAGAGCCGAGAGTCCTGCTGCAATGGAGGATTTGCCTGTCTGGAAGCATGAGAATCGTGTGGAATCTTTGCCAACAAAGGATCCAGTTCTTGCAGTCTTTGGCCAGAAAGCTACTCAAGTTGAAGAACCTGAACCACAAGTGGACGTCAGTCTAGGTGCCTCTGGTCCTGCCCTAGTTGGAGAAGATTTTACGATGCCTATTGAGGTAACTTCAAAGGGTCATGCCGTATACAGTGGTGAATTGAAGATTAATCTAGTTGATGTGGGTGGTGGCGGTTTGTTTAGCCCAAGAGAAGCAGAACCATTCTCTTTAGAAAGCCATCATGTCGAAATATGTGGTATTGATGGGGCAGAGGGCAACGATGAATCTGAGTCTGAGACAGGGAACATAAAGAAAATTCAGCAATCTTTTGGGCTGGTTTCTGTTCCAGACCTGAAGGATGGGGAATCATGGTCCTGCAAACTAGAAATCAAGTGGCATAGGCCCAAGCCTGTCATGCTTTTTGTGTCGTTGGGATATTTGCCACATGGCAGTGAAGCCAGCGCCCAAAAAGTTCACATACACAAGAGCTTGCAGATTGAAGGGAAGATGCCTGTTTTCATTAGCAATCGGTTTATGTTGCCACATAGAAGGGATCACCTATTGGTAAACAGGATCAAGCCAGCCCCTGATTCTGAAGACATGTCTTCTCTACCGCTGAACGAAAAAAGTGTGTTAGTTGTCGGTGCCAAAAATTGCACAGAGATAGCACTGAAACTGGTGTCCATGTCGATTGAATTGGATGATGAGCAAGGGGAAACTTCATGTTTGATCCAGCAGGGTGGTGGGTGTGGAGATACTGCAGGCTCTGCTAATCTTGCGCCAGGGGAGGAGTTCAAAAAGGTTTTCACAGTCATACCAACAATGAGAACTCCGAAGCTTGGTTTGGGATCAGTACATTTAAAATGGAGGAGGCAGGGAGGGAATAACACAACAGAGGCATTTGTTTCAACAAAGCACAAACTTCCTGAAGTAAATGTGGAGGCATCGCCATTGGTAATGAGTTTGAACTGTCCTCCGTATGCCATTCTTGGAGAACCCTTCACTTACGCCGTTAGAATCTGCAATCAGACGCAGTTGCTCCAAGAAGCAAAGTTCGCTCTGGCTGATGCACAAAGTTTTGTCCTGTCTGGGTCTCACAGCAACACGGTTTCAGTCCTTCCAAAGTCAGAACACGTCTTAAGTTATAAGCTAGTGCCCCTGACTTGCGGTCAACAGCAACTCCCGAAGATAACTTTGACATCAGTGCGGTATTCTGCTGAGTTTCAGCCATCTGCGGTTGCTTCAAGTATCTTTGTGTTTCCCTCTGCGCCGCAGGCCAACGCTACCGACAAGCAGTAACTTAACGCGACTTGGGTTTCAGTTGTGCACTTTCACCCATCTGCCGTTTTGTGCAACACATGTTGAATTAGTTTGGTAATTTCATTTTCTGAAGTGCCTGCTATGTTGTCTTTTCTTATGTTGATAATAATGGCTATATTCTTTTGTTTTGGAGAACTCAAGACACCGACATATGTTTGTAGCAACTGTTTCTCTTTCAATGCCAAAATGCTTGCGTGTTTCAAAACTGAAGTTGCATTGTTAATACAATATAGATCGCGTTGGGCCTTCTTTTTATTTGTTCGCTATTCTTATTTGTTGGCCTTTTGTGTTGGGTAACTAATTAATTTATTAATTAAGAGCAGAATTCTAATTAACTGTGCTCTGCATCTCTTAGCCTCCTGATTCAGTTGGTTCTCTCTTCGCCTCAAGCTTCTTTTAATCAGAGAATTAGCGTCGGTGGCGGAGAGCTTAGGTTCGTCGGTGAAGATGGAGGCTCCTGATATGACATTGATGGAAAGCCGACCGGGAGTTTTTGTCGTCGGATCCTCCGGCGTGGGCAAGCGCACCCTCCTCTCTCGTACGCGTCTTTCCGTTTTAGATCCGATTTTTGTTTACGGGCTAGTCTAGGGTTGTTCTGCCAATTTGACAATTTCTCTGTTGTATCATTTACTCACAGGATTGCTCTCTGCCGATTTTGAGGATTCATCGGAGTCACCATCTCAAACAGAAGTTCATGGGTATATATATATATATATATATCTCTCTCTGAGGACGGTGTTTTATGTGTATAACCCATTTTCGGAAGAATTTCTAACGATTTTTTGTTTCCAACTCTCTGCAACATGTGGGCAGCTGGACGATTAACACTAAGTATTACGCTGCGGATGTTTCTGTATGGATATCACATATTTGCGCCGACTACTCTCTGCCCAATCTTCCTCAGTCACATCCACTGGTGGCGTTAGTTATGGTCTTCGACTTGAGTGAGGTTCGACATTGATACGCGGCTCTGACTCGTTTATTCTCACCTTACCATCCGCAGCCTAACCCTTTTTACCCGTTCTTTGCAGCTGTCAACTCTTGTTGCTCTTCAAGACTGGGTTTCTCATACTGACATCAGCAGTTTTGATATATTGTTGTGCATTGGGAACAAAGCAGATCTAGTCCCTCATCACCTAGCTCATCATGAATATAGAAGACGTCTTTTGAAGGCAACAGACTCCTCTAGAAATCTGTATTCAGACATTGATGAGTTTGGGATCTCAGAAAGTGAAGGAAGTAGGTTGTTGGGGAGCGAAGAGGGTACATCATTGGATACCAGAGGAACATGTCTTGAGTGGTGTTGTGAGAACAACATCGAGTTCGTTGAGGCTTGTGCATCTAATCCTGATTTTGACAAGTGTAAGTTCGATGTTTTTCAGACAATCTTTCCTTCCTTCCTTCATATTGATGGAGTAACCAGGGGTGCTGCAAAATGTCACGGTTTTATCTGGTTACTCCTTTTTTTTTCTCATCACAATATCAAAAAAAAAAAATAAGCATCTACTGAACTTGTGAAGAGTTCCACATTTGTGGATGAAAAATGAGTGAGAAATGAATGAGCATGATGAATACGTATTCGTCTCTGACATTAATGAGGCTACGGGTTTGGTCGTTGTAGGTTTATCAGTCGATGGGGACTCTCAAGGAGTTGAACGTCTATTTGGTGCTCTTTCGGCACATATGTGGCCCGGAATGATTCTGAAATCGGGTGATAAAATAAATGAACCGGTGTTACCTCATGGAGAAGGTTATTTGCTCCTTCAGTTTTCTTCTCCCATATATAGTAAGGGTTCCCCTTGGACTTCATATTGATTGGATCTTGTATTTCTCGTTGTCAGAGTTGTCAGAAGAAGATTCTGAATATGAATTGGAGTATGAAGTGCTATCAGCAGGCTCAGCTGACCCATGGGAAAATATCGTGGAAAGATGGGTTTCCGCAAGTGAAACGCATTCATACGCAGATGCCGGCGGATCCACGTCACAAGAAAATCTCGAGGTAGAAAATAATATGTTGAAACTAAAGAAAGTTGTGGACGAAGAGCTGCGGCCTTCAGGGTCAAGGCCACAGAATGAGACTGGCAGAGCAGCAGTAACAGATGAAAAACTTTTGGACACAGAAAACGACAAATGTTATGAGTTTGAAGACGTGGAACAGTTGATGTCAGAAATAGGGAACATCCGTGACAACTTGCGATTGATGCCCGATTTCCAGAGGAGAGAAACAGCTGCAAATCTAGCGATGAAAATGGCTTCCATGTTTGGAGGCGACAGTGACGACGAGGACGAACCTGAGTGAGCCCGTTTCTATCATGTTTTGCTGAAGATCAGCGTGAACCACAGTTATGTCCTTTTGTTAGCACAACTCTATCATAATTCGTTTCTTGTTCTGTGAAAGATTCTGGCAGTAATAGTCAGTTGCACGATGTAATGTGAAGCCAGTTAGCTATTATAGTTATCTGGGCCGACATGTTTTGGATCTCATTCATGACTGTTTCAATGTAGTCTCGGAGCTTTATAATACAACCTTATACAAACATCCTGGTTGGTAACACCTGGCAAGGCAGTTATGTATATTAGCGTACAAAGTCTAGTAGAAACAAAGACCTTGATGGAATTTGCTCTGCATTCATTTTGAATATTATTAATCCATATCATTAGGACGAACAGGAGTCACAAAGGAAAATTGGTTTTCAGGGATAATATCTCCAGAATATTCCATCTCTCTGGACTGATCGTGCCCTTCTTTAGGTGCAGGCGATAATGGCTCAGCTTCAAAATCGGACATGTTTTCAAGATCAGACATGTTTTGGTCTTCATAATTACTCATGTAAGAGGCTGTCGAGTGACCGGTGGTCTTGGAGCGGAGTAGAGTGGCTCCAGATGCGTGAAAGGCTGAAGTTGAGGTGCTGACACTGCTAGAACCACCATGGGTCTCTGTTGGTGGCTTTCTTGCTTTGCCTTTCTTCTTCTTCACAGCCATGTGCCATTTCTTCAACGCTTTTGCCATTTGTTCATCAAACACAGATTTCTTCATGTGTGAACCCATCTGCCCACATCAACAACATTAGTTATCCCCTTGTAAGCTTCTCTATCCCCATCGTTCTGACACACGTATCTGGACAGTGAAGGCTGAGATTAGGATAATGTACCTGAGTAACTAGTGCGTACAATGGAAGCGTGATGTAGCTGCACAAAATCAAAGCTCCTACGCTGCAAAATAGCCAAGTTGTTCAGCTCATTAGAATCGTTCCCAGCGAGATCTATGGATTCGTTTCTTCACTAGTGGTTAGTGTAAGAATAAGCTTTACCCAAATGAGAGTTTTGCGATGACAAGTTTGAAATCCTTGTGGAAGCAAGATTTTAGCTTAAAGGAATACTGCATGCCAAATTAACGAAATGTATTAGTCAGAAGATATAGAAGAGAATAAAAATCAGAGTTGATCTCAATTACCCAGATCCAGAAGAAGTATGTTATTTGGAAAGCATTCTACAAAAAGAAGACTTAATTAGACATAAGTTGCAGGATGGAGCGAAAGATAAACACAAGCACGCAAATGCAATGCTGGCTGTGTTTGAACCAAAAAAGAATATATATATTGCAAGTACCTGAAATAAGGCGAAGTGGAGAAGATGAAGCAGCAACTGAGGGCGACTAAACCAAAAGTACTTATCTGAACCATGCACAAGAGGTATCCCTTGAACAACTGCGTGTCTATCTGTGATTTCCAGAGCCATTCTTGTTAGGATCGCTTGAAGCTTGGTACCGACAGCTAAAATGATCTGCAAGAGTTCTAAGTGAGACTTGCAAGCCCCTGGCACATAAGAAGATTCTCTTAACAGCATAATTTTCTTACAAGTATAGGCAGGATCGACGCCCAAAACATTGTTTCCCAGCCTAAAAAGGGAAGGGATAACTCCTTTTAGTAAACTAATAACCAATGATTCAGTAAAGCGAGCAAGCAAATGCAAAGCTGGCTCACCATTAACATTCAGAAGTAAGAAAACCACAAATGATGCCCACAGAAGTGGACTGCAAAGCAAAACTTTTGTCAGAAATGTGGACAAACTCTCATGAAACTAGCATTGCGACTACGCCTTTGTGTTATGTACCTTATTCCAACTACCACCTTGAAATCGTCTTCCAATGATCTTTTGATATATTTTTGGAAGTCGAACTTTCTTCCCGGAGCTAAATGGGCCTAAAAGTAGACTCACCCATAAAAAAATCACCAAAGTAGAAGGAAAATAACAACAGAGAATTGAGTTTTGCCTTACGGCGATGAAGCCGTGGCGCAGAGTCAGGTAGTCCGTTCTCCCGACAGATCGAAAGAACTGCTGTAGGAAGCACCCCTGTAAATCAGATGGTTGAGAGAACATTACATATATGAATTTTTCCATCAACAACTTTATGCTGCGAGGGCTTGCTAAAGAAGAAGGAAATGCTTCTAGCTCACAGCATAAAAGAAGAAGGGGACTTTTGTCCAAAAACTGGAATGTTGTCTAACGAAGGACGTCTCATGAGTGAGCCTGAATCTTGATGGATCTTGCATAGAGAAAAGCCCGATTAAGTGACCTATATGTATAGAACAAGCTGTTTTAGTTAAGAAGAAGTCGCCTACCGACTGAAAACTCGTAATCATGAGAAAATGTCTCCTGCTCCCACTTTTTCCAGCCACGGATCTGCAGTTGCAGTAAATGATGAATAGCTTGGAAAGGAGATTTTTAGGAAACAGTAAAATTAGACTTGTCGGACCTTGAGTCTGCCTAGCATCATTGTAATGAAACTGTAGAGAATGTGAAAGACAGCCATGAAGAACAATAGGATGTGCAGCTGATGCAAACCCGTGACAGATATGAGTGGTTCATGACCCTGCGGAAAACCAAAAAGAAAAGAACATAAGTGTGCGGTGACGAAATAGATAGCGTGAAGTTTATTAAAAGGGAAGCTAAATATGACCTCATCGCAGCGAGAAGAGGTAGTGGCAGCAGCTAGATGTCTGCGGTGGGTCTTGTCTTGGTCATGAGTAGGAAGAGGAGCTGGACAAGGTAACATAGATGCAGCAGCCTTTTCAGGGATACAAATCTTGAGTATGTACTGCTCTCCGAAGGTCAGTAACAAGGAAATGAATCCTAGAATCATCAGCTCTGCATCCATTTTATGCATAATACATGTTAATTTTCTTAATTGAAGACAAGAGTAAGAGAAACAAGTCTCTGATCTTACCGGCCTTTATTTTTTCCAAGGCTTCAAACAGAGAGTTCTTATGCTTCTCCCACAACCACTGAGAAAAGGAAGAAAAAAATACAAGATTTAGACAATCGAGAACACACATACGGAAGAGAAGAAAGGAAGAAAAAAAAATGGGAAGGGGGAGAAAGAATTGAGGTCAAACCGTGGCAACTTTGTGAAGAGCCTTCTCGAGGAGAACAGAGACAAGGATGAAAAAGGTACAGACGAGGGCAACGGCCCAGGTGGGAGTCTGGGAGAGCTCTTTCTCTTTGGCGCCGCCTGTAGAGGAAGCTCGGGCGTAGACAGGAAGCAGCAGAGAGCAGAGGAGCAAAGTGGTCCAATACCAAAAGCATCTTGTGGCCATGTTAGCCAAAAGAAGAAGATCTCTTGTCCTAGATTACGTAAAACAGTGAAGATGGCAGAAAACAAAAAACAAAAAAAAAAAATACATAAAACATAGAACAAATAAATGCGGTGTTGACTTGCAAAAACGTCCGCTTACCTTGATATGTTTTGAAGCAATAAATTATGAGAAGAGAGATCAATCATCAATGTTGAGAATGTGTCTATTTCATGTCTCTATTCAAAACTCAACCTTACAGTCAATTCAACAAACTAAGGTCACTGTTGTGGTTCTATCAAAAACTATAAGAAGTAGGAGGAGTTGTTTCAGTTACTTCTCTCACCCAACAGGACTTAAAAAAGATAATGATATCAACACAAACGAAAATTTGGTTGCCTATGAGAGACCAGAGAAAGAATTATAGAAGAGAATCACTCATCAATTCTTGTTGACTAATTGGTTTTGCTTTTTATGATTTCTATTCCGCTTTTGATTAAATATATGCCAACTTGCCACTTTATAGATATAGAGTATATCATCTCAAAAATTAAAATTACTGTTGGCCATTGCTCCACCACTGCCGACCCGACCAACTTTTTTTGTTTCTTTATTTACGTAAATGTTCTTCACTCTTTTTTTTTTTTAGCACTGATTTATTAATCTATTACAAATGATAAGAATTATTAAATATTCTTAATTTATCTATATATATATATTATATATTATTTGTAGTAATAAGAATTTACTATTTTTTATAGTTCCAACAGTCGATGATAAAATAATGGGCTTGATCCTGCAGTGACTTCGTATAAATAAATGATTTGGAAAATAATGGACTAAGCGCATTTTTAGGCCCACCAATTCTTATATCATACATACCTACTTGGGCTCATACAGGCCCATATACTGAACTTGTAGTACATGCAGCCCAAAAGTTCTCTTTTTGTTATCCCACTCAATGCCGATCTGTAAACACGCCATTATTTGAATGATAGGCTAAGTCATGCATGCACCGCACCTATCATATCTCCCGGACTGGTTCTACCACAACCTGGTCTCATCATCATGCTTACCTTTTCTTTTAAATAATTATTTGACTATCGTTTACTTCCTTTAAATCTTATCCTGAGCTTTATATATGTACTTATCTGAGACACATATACAAGCGAACGACGGTTTCTTCTTCTTCCTCTTCTTGTTATTATTTAATTTAATCCTATAAGTTTTCTCGCGTATTGTCACTGTTTGTTATATTAGATTATTTTCCTCAAGTTAAAATTACACTGTTTTCCATCTGTGTATGTGCTGTGTTAGGAACTTAGGATCAGGTTAGCGGAGCGGCCTGTATATATGAAAGTCTTGCAGACCACACAGTTGACATCTATTATTAATTTAGATGTAATAAAGTAAAAAAGAATGATACGTACTGTGGACTTGGCATCGCAATCACAGCCGTTGGAGGAATGTTTCATATTGTATGTTAGATATATATTAAAAACAAACACAATAATATAATGTATGATTAATATGTCAAAACTGGCCACTAATTTGGAAAGAATATGTTAGCATGTGACAGGTTGGATTACTTCTGCCTCCTTTGCTCGAGTAAAATGTGGAAAGAAAGACATGAAATTATTTTGTTTATATATACGGGGAGCAACCAGACCATGACGAGTCTTGCTATGATTCTGTCAACACTAACCTGAGAGGATCCCAAAAGCCTCCCGTCCCTTTGAATCTTTAAATTTTGAAGTCCATGTGATCCACGTGTGATGTGCACCACCTGAACGGCTGAACCCAACATTACCCAGAAGCCAACTTGTCCTTCTAAACCCTTTTTTCTTGTATGCCTTCTCCTTCTGTTGAAAAGTTGGACTCTTCTTCTTCTTCTTCATGTATCCCCACTCCTCTACGTATGCAATATATACCTATCAATTCTCTCCATCTCCACCACTCTACACATAATTATCAAAGCTTTCATCTCTATCTTACATTGATTACTTTTCTTCTTCTGCAAGAAACCAAAAAAAAAAAAAAAAATAGAGAGATGGGTTTCTTAGAATTATTGGAGGTGGCTTCAATGCCAATCGTCCAAGTTCTCCTAATCAGCGTTCTTGGTGCCTTCTTGGCAACTGATTACTGCTCTCTTCTCTCCGCTGACACCCGAAGATCCGTGAACAAGGTACAAACCTTCGTCGTCTCTGTTTTTTATTTTATTTGATGATCATTCATGCACTTCTAGTAATGAACATATATATATATATATTTGCAGCTCGTCTTCGTGGTCTTCACCCCTTGCATCATGTTTGCCAACCTTGCCCAGACTGTCACATTACAGGACATTATTTCATGGTATGCACTACCCTTATTCACTCGGTCCTATGAGAAACCTTGGTGCTTTAATTTGATTTAAGCAAATCAATTTTCAGGTGGTTCATGCCCATAAATGTTGGAATCACCTTTCTAGTAGGAGGCATTCTTGGATGGTTGGTGGTCAAACTGCTGAACCCCAAACCTCAACTTCATGGTCTCATAATTGCCACTTGTGCCTCAGGTAACATTAATTCCATAAAATTTAATCGAAGAGATTCCTGAAATCTAACATAAATGATATGATATGATGTAGGCAATATGGGAAACCTTATGCTTATTCTAGTCCCTGCCATCTGTGATGAGGAAGGAAGTCCTTTTGGGAATCGGAGTGTTTGCAGATCCATTGGACTCTCCTACGCATCTTTCTCTATGGCGGTAAGTCAAACCAAACATAGCATCTTCTCTGCTGACCATACTTGTTAAAGTAATTTTTGAACCTTTTTTTTATTTTTGTTTTTTCTCAAGCGCAGCTCGGGGGTTTCTACATTTGGACCTACAGTTACCAACTTGTGAGAAGCTCTGCTACACAATTCAAAGCTCTTGCAGCTACCGGCGTGGTCAAAACCCCAAACAAGGACATTGACTCTGATCCCCACACTCTTCTCCTGAAGCCGCAACAAAACCAAGACCTTGAAATCCAAGTGAAACAAAAGGTGTCTACTCGGACATACATCAAGGACTTACTCCATCAGATTCTTGAGGAACTCTTTGCACCACCCACTATTGGTGCCGTAAGTAAAAATAAAAAATAAAGAAGGAGAGACATGATTTCATTTCTCCATTCAGTAATGAACTACTAGCTAATGCATATATATATAATTTTTTTTTTTTTGGGTTCCATTCAGATTCTTGGTTTCGCCTTCGGAGCAACCAATTGGCTAAGGAATCTTATAATTGGGGAGAATGCCCCGTTGAGAGTCATCCAAGATTCAGTGAAACTACTTGGGTATGGACTTAAAAGCACGTTTTTAGGTATATAACTATCACGTTATTACGACTAATAGTTAACTTGGCAGGGACGGCACAATTCCTTGCATCACACTCATATTGGGGGGCAACCTGATTCAGGGTCTGCGTTCCTCAGCCGTGAAGACGTCGGTGATCGTGGGAGTGATCTGTGTGCGCTACATCATCCTCCCCGTGGTGGGAGTCGGGGTGGTCCAATTAGCATGGAATCTAGGCTATCTTCCTCCAGACCCTCTCTTCCGATACGTTCTCATGCTTCAGTTCACACTGCCGCCTGCCATGAATATCAGTAATTTACTTTGAAAATTTCGGTGAATTTATTATTATTGGGTAGCTAGATAAACAAGGAATGGGGGGGATTAATCATTTGTGTTACGGGTTGCAGGCACAATGGCACAGCTGTTTGACGTGGCTCAAGATGAGTGCTCGGTCATCTTCTTATGGACCTACCTGGTTGCATCCTTAGCCCTCACCGTGTGGTCAACCATATTCCTCTCCATCCTCTCATGAAAGATGATGTGAGAAGCAAATGGAGTTTCTTGGTTGTGTCATGTGTGGGTGTATAATCAATCATTTTCTTGTTGTTGTTAATCTGTTATTGGATTACTTTCCTAGTACTAGTGATTTCAACCATGTTGTTGTCCTCAAAACAAAAAGAGAGAAAGACATAGTTTTTATGTGGGCTTTTTCTAGAAAAGGGATAGGAAGTGTGGGCCCATAAAGAGAGAGAGCCCAAATAGAAGAGGCGTTGTGAAGAAACAAACGTGCGCCGGCTGCATCCTCCACGAGTCCACGTTGCGTTGCTGCTACTGCTTCACGCCTCTTCAATCATTTCGGAAACTTCTACATTTCTTCACACCTGTCCTCTCCTTTTTTTTAAATATTTTTTCTTCTCTAATTTCATACTTGTTATATGTTAATATGATTTGTATTTTCTTATTATCAAGAAAAAAATAATCTGATTCAACAAACAGCTCATCATAATTACAAGAATTTGGTTAAGGCGTGTCGATTGATCCTCAGGATCACATGGCAGATCAGAGGAAATTTATGTATTTCGTGAGCGAGCGAATCAAAAATAAAACTTGTCGTTTTTCACAGATTGTTTAAAAAAAACAGACTCCTGAGATGTGGTAAATACAAGAAGGTAATATCAGTGTGATTTTTATTTTATTTGATAAGAGAAAAAAACATACATACATTAAATGTATTATCTAACATTTGACCACACAGATTGCTCTGCAGTTTTTCGTCTGTCTTTATAATTAATTTTTGATAGAAAATTAGTGAAAATTAGTGACAAAATTAGCCCTATTCAATAAACATATTTCGGCCCGTAACTATTTTGTTAAGGCCCAGTGCAAGTTTATATATACAGCTTGATCTGGATAAGCCTATTCATAAACTGATACCAGTCAATCAGAATGATAGGTTATGGGCTTGTGCAGACGAGGCCGGTTGCTCCCATAAACTAGTTTACCAAAAAAAAAAAAAAAAACATAAAGTCCAGATCTTAAGTTTATTTTGCATAGAAATTTATCATTAATCTGATATATGTATCATTAACTGATACGGTCCAACTCAATTTAGTGGATTCCTTTCTTTACAAAACTAAAAAAAAAACTAGTGGTTTTCTTGAACTTTTTCAATGTTCACTAAACAAAACGAAGGGTCAGTAGTAAAAACACAGTCATGTGTATCTTCTTGGCCCAAAAGAATGTGGTGTAGCTCTCGCCTCCAGTCGTCAGTGCCCACCCAACTAGGAAAACGAGAATCTTGAGAAGAGGGATAGACCTGAACCTTCACTTGTCGCACCTGGACTCACCTCTGTTTTTGTTGTTGTTGCTGTTGCTGCTGAGCTATGGTACGCTTGCTGACACTTCTGGATCTGCCATTTCCATCACACATGGTTAGGTTTTTTTCCAAACAACAAAATTAAACACACAACAAGGTCCAAGCCTTAGATCTAACCTCCTCCGGACTGAATTGAAGTAACATTCCCACTACTGGTAGTAAAGCCTCCACTTCACCTGCAACCATCACACGTTATTTCTCCCTACAACATCAACTTTATGGATCACCTTCAATCTCCAGAGTGTTTTTCTTTTTGTTTTTTATACCTGTTTCTAACAGCTTTAAAATCACATTCTTGAGGTATGTCATATCGACACCTTCTCTTTTCTGTTTTCTTTCCATCTCCCTCAACTCCGTTTTAAGCATGGCTTCCTGTAATCAGCATACCCCCTCCCAATGTATTAACAAGACCATACAACCGTGACTCAAACTCTTATGTAATCGCAACATACCTGTTGACTGCGAAGACGGTTTTCGCGCTCAAGCTCCTCTATTTCCTCCTGATTTAGCTTAAACAATTAATAAGGGAAAAAAATGGGCGCGCAGAAACAGATTTAAATAGATGCAACCAATTCCTAGTATACCTGAAGAGCTAAAATATGCCGCTGTGTCTGTGCTAACTCTTCTTCTCTCTGGGCCTGTTGCCTTGCCAATATCTGAAATTTACAATATCATGTGTAATTATCAGCTCTCAATGATTGTCCTCATAGCATTACATTCGAATGCAATTCTGTTCTAAGATTAAAAATCAGTCCTTGTTCGGAAAAACAGACGGCTAATATTTACACACTCCTACCAGAATCTGGTGTTCTGCGGCAGAAGTGCTCAAGTTAGATACATCCTGCTGTTGTGACTCTGAAGCACCACCGTTTGAAGAAAATATTAGGGAAGTTGATAACAGGCAACCCTCTGATTCATTCATATGTGAAGCCAAACTTGTAAACTAAATGGTCAAAGAAAGAATCTCATACCTGTATAGTTGTTCCCATAGTGATGAACCTGAGATGGAGATTTGTTCAACTTAATGCCACATGAAGAGTGAAATTCAAGCGCAAATTAAAAAAAAATTACAACCACCGAATTCTGATTACGAAAAAAAGGAGAAGCAAGAGAAAACAGAAAGGAAAAAAAAAAAAAGACCGCCATCAACGTACTACTGGTTTTGGTTCCATAGAGTTTCGAAGAACTTTATTCTCATCCATGAGTTTGGATATCTCTCGATCCTTTTCCTCAATGAGTCTATCTGCAAGCTCGCGTACTGATTCATGCTCCTCCTGCAGGCACGTCAGTTGAACACAAAATATCGCCAATCTTTCTTATAAAAACCAGACCACGGATTAGTAACAAAATATGGCTTACCTTCAGTCGTTTATTCCGCATTTTGGTATCTTCTAGTTCTTTTTCTAGATCTTCTGCCGAAGAGGCTTCATTTTGAGCAGCTAAAGCTTCACATCTTCCTGCAGATTACTATAACCTTTTAGGAAGAGAAATTTGATCTCCAAGAACAAATGATGAAAATCGAATTTTGATTTTGGTCAATTACGTCGCCAAGTTTCTTCTAAAACTCGAAGGTCTTCTTCCCACGCTTGTTTATCCGCCTGATTGCGAGCAAGAGTGGAATCAAGCTTCAATTCAAGACATTTGATCTGCTCGCTGGCATTTTTAAGTGCTCCAGCTCTGAAATGGATATGAAACATACAAATAGCTCAGAACTATATGTGAGAAAACTCCACAAAGCAGTCCACTGAGAACATTGTGTCTCAGTTGATTTTTTCGGGAATGAGCAGTCAAACTCCGGAATCAAACTTGAAAACTTTTCGGCACAATCAAAATATGGTTTTTGGGGATGTAATTTGTGGCATGTGAATACCTTTCCTCAAGTTCTTTCTCAAGGTTAGCCAAAGCACCCTGAAGATCTTGCCGTGCCCTATCCCTCTCTGCAGATACCAAATATACTTCTTTTTCAGCTTCCTAACACCATCCAAAAAGCAAATTAGTTGGTAAGCCCGCTGATAAAATTAGCTCCATCTTAAAATTCTAGATAACTTACCTTTAGAGCTTCCTCAAGAGATTTGATCTGTTCAGAGTCTTTCGCTGCAGCCAGCTCCATGTCCTTCTTTTGCAGAAGCGCGTGAGCACGGATCTTGTAAGAAGAAAATTCACTCTGGAGACGGTTGATCTGTGAACAGTTACAAGAAAATATGGTTAAGGTGAAGACAAGCTTAAGCAGAACATTTCTTAAAGCTCAAAATGGCTCTTTGTTCCATGATCATACATGATATGTGATTAAAAAATGGTTGAGTGATACGTCCGTTCCTACCCAAGCAAGCTACAATATCTCTCAAAATAACGAAAAGTACATTATGTACCTCTTCTCTTGCACCTTTGAGTTCAGCATCTTTTGTGCTTAGCATCTGGGTCTGCATGGACATTTCAGATCCCAGCTGACCTGACAATTTAGATGGATAAATTTAATATATTTCACTGAAAAATGTAAAACATAACTAGATTAAGGTTTCAAGGTTTCATGATCTTCGTAAATTACTTCTCATTTTAGCCACTTCCATTTCGGCACGTAAGTAGTTGCTTTCAGCGATTTCCAGTTTAGATTTAAGAGCATCGCATGAAGCTTCCCAAGTCTCCTTTTCCTTTTCCTGAAGGAACAAAATATTTCATGTCTTCCAGGACTTGAACAGAAGAAATATAATAATTCATATGGCCAAAAAAACTGAAACTCCAACCATGCTGTCTGATGCTAAAGAATGTTTATAGTTATTTATATGCACTCCTATGTTCATTCCCTGGCTAAATCATTTCTAGGAAAACTGCTAAGTTAACGATGGAACTCGTGTGAAGACTAGTATGTGAAACAAGTTCTTAGAATATAGGAGTGGAGAACAATAACGAAGGACAAATGACAGGAGAGAGACATGGCATCAGAGAGTCCTGGGGATTCATCTTTTAAACATTCCACTTACATTCTCCGCTTTCAGGTGTGCAAGCTCTCCTTTAAGAGTTTCTGCAGCAGCCCTTAGCCTTGCTGCTTCGCCAGTTGCAGCTGCCTCCATCTCTGCAACTTTAGATTCCTTCTCTGCAAGTAGTACCTAAAAGACGTGTAAAATGGAAAGTCCAGGTGAGAATAATTCATCACAAATTTCAAACAATCTCTCTTGCCCATAGTAAACCTAAGGACAGCATCAGATAGGAAAGTGAAGAATTTAGTAACAAGACTAACCTGTAGTCCCGAAATGGTTTCGGCTGCTTTGTCCCTCTCTGATAGGGCATCTATGACCTGTGCTTCCAAACTCTCTAAGTTCTGTCAAGAAAGTGGAGAGAAGAGAAGACCTCGGATATCATTAGCGGACAATGAAAAGGGGCAATGGTGTCTCATAGCATAGAAGAAGCAACACAAGTAGGCTGATGCTGACTACCTTTTGATGTTTGGCTGAAATCTCAGTAACTGCAGTTTGCTTTCTCTCTTCAACAGCTTGTAATTGCTTTTTCAGGTCCTCGAGCACCTAGGATAAAAGCAAGTACGCAAATGAAGCAGAGTTTAAACAGGCACTCATCCCTCTCTCTATGTCTCTTTTGATCTCTCTCTATAACTCTCTACCTTTCTATTTATTGCAGACTAATGTTACAAGAATGAAACAGACCATACCTGGTCTTTATCAAGAAGTGACTGTTGCAATGTCTCTATCTTATTTTCTTTAGGCTGTAATGAGCTACGTAGTTCCTCGATAGTATCTCTAAGCCTTGGTAAGGGAAAAATAGAGAAAAATCAAGAATTCAAATTCTGAGAGATAGCTGGAGAAGTGTGGGAAAGATGACATTCATTACATACAGTTCAGAATCAAAAGCATGGCTAGAAGGAAATTTAACAATCTTGATGTTATTTACTTGTTATTGGCACTCCGTAGTTGTTGCCTCTCCGCATCCATTGCTTTAAGTGCTTCATTCGCCTGTTGCCTAGTGCGCTCCAGCTCTTGCTGCATGGATGAGTGCTGAGAAGATGCGCGTTCAGCTGTTTCACTAACTTCCCGGAAACGAGCGTCGAGGTCGTCTTTTTCCTGAAGACAGAATTAGGAGATTTAGACAGTGGACAAAGCAGCGAAATTCTGAGGTAGTGTAGGCTGTAGCAATAGAAAGGTAGAAGTGATTTTGGGAACTCAGCAGAAGGCATTACGATTTGACCTTTTGGATTTCTTGAATGCGCTGTTTAGCCCTTTTGTGTAGCCTGGTGAATTTGGCGTCCAGGTCGGCATATTTCTCTTCGCGGTCTTTTATTTCCTGGTCCAGCTTCTGTTGAGCTACACCAAAAAAATCAACAACAACTTCAGGAAAAAACAAAGATGCTTCTGATTGGGTGTATACACAGGAAAGATGCCTGACCTTGGGAAAACTTGGTGAAGTATTCTTGGGCTTTTGCATCTGCCTCAGAGTATGCTTCCCTTAGATGCTCCAGAGCTTGCTCAGCTGCAACTCGAGTTTGTTTTTCAACATCAATTTCTCTACTCAATGATGCGAGCCGTTGTTGAAGTTGCGGTGAGACTGCTCTGTCCCCTTCCACTTGCTCTACTTGATCCTTAAATTGGGATCTGAGAAAGTCATTTTCTAATCTGAGCTCAGCAATCATTTGCAGAAGCTGATCATGATTATCACCAAGCGATGTCAAATTCTCCTTTGCCGCATCAGATTCTCCTTGCTCTTCTGCAATCACGTCAGCTTCCTTGTCTTGGAACATCTTGGCAGATGTTTGAACACAACTCTGATGATGTCAGAAAGTGTGGGATGTGCCCAGCTGAAGATATCAAGAGCTGGAAACAAGCACGAAATTGGAGAAATCGCCAGTTGAGTTTGAATCAACAACAATCAAAGGAGAGAGGAAGCGCAATTTGATGGTAATCAGAGAAGAAGCTAACCTTGAGATGGAGAGCAGCCAAGGAAGAGGCAGCAGAGAGAGAGTGAGTGAGATCGCAAGGAATCTCGGTTTCCGAATTTGGATCTCGCCCCCAACCCAACCTCAAGGTTCAAAAATGTCGTCGTCGTCGTGGTGCTTGTCAGACCAATGACGGAAAAAATGCACCCAGAATCCTCAAATTTACAGGTATTTGCACCGAACAACCTAAAACTTTCGCAAAATGCACCCAGAGTCCTCAGTTTTACAGGTATTTGCATCGAAAACCCTAAAACTTTTGAAAAAATGCAATGAGTAAACCCAGCGAGGTTAACGCCGTTAGGTTGGTGTGACGGGAGCTTAAATGATGTCGTTTAGAAAACAGAAAATACCCGAGCCAAACACATGAGTTGATTCATTTCATTTGAAAAGTCAGCATAGCTTCTCATGGAAGCGAACGACATTGTTGTTTGCGATCCAATTGAGTGGATTGGCTTTTTCTTCTGCTTCTTCGAAGTTGTTACTGTTTAGGAGATGCGTCTTTCCAGTGTCGTTTCCTAACCTCGAGGCAATGTAGCTGTACGTACACCAACAACATCTTTCACTGTTTGATTCAGAAATTCAGAAGATCTACGGACACGGTGGCTAACTAATTATCTCTGTTCTTCCACTTTCTGTTCACAGAGATAGATTCAGAAGAATGGAGGCATGATCATTGGGATGGACACATAAGAAGAAACACATAAGAAGAATCTAGAGGCCCATTCATTTATCATCAAGGTTTCTAATTGGGCTGAAACATTAAGGCCTGTGGAGCATCATTTCTAAAACATTGGCCCAAGTATGACCATTGACTGATTCATCGGTATCGCCTTGAAATCTTGAATGATTGATTGATTTCATGAATGAATTTATTATTGCATACAAAAGCTCTAAAAGTAAAGTGATATGGCAGAGGGGAGAGTCCCAACTACTTCGGTGTCGGTCATAGTCGCTCACGACCTTCTTTTAGCCGGCCACCGCTATTTGGACGTCAGGTTTGCCACCTCAATTCCACTTTTGATCTTGCACCGACAGACAGATAAGAGAAACTAGATTAGACATCTCAAACATCAACATAGCAATCTTCAAGTCTTGTAATTAATGTATGATATAGGACTCCAGAAGAGTTCAGCCAGGGACATGCCTGTGGAGCGATCAACGTTCCCTATATGAAGCGAGGAGATTCAGGTTTTACTATGTTGAAACTTGATTTGTGTGTGTGTATTTGTTTTTTTTTTCTTTTTTTACAAAAGAAAAAAGGTGTGATTGTGAATGAAGCAGGGATGTCAAAGAACCCGAGCTTCTTGGAACAAGTCTCCTCCCATTTCGGAGAAGCCGATAAGATCATTGTTGGGTGCCAGAGCGGGGGAAGATCTTTGAAAGCCACGGCTGAGCTTCTTGATGCCGTAATTAAGAAGCTCCCAACATATTCTTTCAACTTACTTTGAAACTTGTAGCTAGTTGTCTGTCGATTAATTATATTTTAGTTTGTTGATATGATACCATTTGGAAAATTGCAGGGTTTCACGGGCGTCACAGATATCGCCGGTGGCTATGCTGCCTGGACCCAGAATGGGCTTCCTACGCAAGAAGACTGATAATGACTCACCACCATCTTCTTTCATGCAACTAATCTCTACTTGTCTCTATTTATAAGAATAATACACCAGCAGAGTGTTTCCAGATGTTAAATGACCCTACTTGTCCTCCTATTTTTTGTTTTTTTTTTTTTTGTGTGTGTGCTTGCTCATATGAATAACAGCCCACGACTCAAGTGTTGTGATCGGAATGTCTATTGCACTTATATATACGTATATAGTTGCAAAATTAAATAAGATATGGAAAAGGATCACGTTGTTTGAGTTAGATGCAGCACAAAGACAATGGAGAGGACGTCAGATGATTAATATAGGCTCACCACTGCATGCTGATGACAAGTCTTCCTTCCTTGCTTTCAAGGTCGATCTGTCCTTGTTAACATACAAAGAAACATGCAATATTTGTAAACATTAGGTTGTCAGATTCATCACCTGCATTACCGAATCAAGAACTCGTATGTACAAAATAAAGAGAAACAAAACTAGCGGAACAAATTCCAGAAACCAGAGAAGGCAGACGAGAGAGGACTGAGATATTGGCACGGCTCAATCAGATGATTTAGTAAAGAGGATCTGAGTGAACCAGGCCAATATCAGAGAAAATCTCTCGGGACATAGAGAGTATCTGTTTTGCTAAAGAAAGAATGGGGTAAGAGAGAATGTCTGTAGGGAACTAAGAAGAAGAAGAAGAAGAAGGGAGTGAATGTGCAACTGCAATTCTCTGGAGCATTAAATGACTCTGCTACTCTCAATGCACCAAAGCTGGGCCACCTCAGTCCTTTTTAATTAATGAATCCCACTGCCTCTTTCTTTTTTTTACCAAACCCGAAACCGAGTTAAAAGGGAGCTATTAAGTCCTTTGTGTAAACATAATTTCAGGAATCACACTTCTTGTCACTTTCGTTGTTTTGTCTTCCCTTAGTAAAGAGACATTAATAACAACCACACCTCTTATTTCCCTCTGTAACGCCTCTCTCTCGGTTTGTCTGCATCTGCCCGCAGCTTCTCTTATTTCATCTTGTTGCCAATTCATTCAAATTAAAATTCAAAGTAGAGAGAAACACACATACACTGAAAAAGAATACATTCATTGAGTCTTCTTCCATTTACATTTTGTTCTTTTCCTTTACACATTCCCTCGGCTATTCATTTATCTTTCGTCTACCATTCGCTTCCTCTCAATACATGAGAGGAGGTACCATCAAATCAATCAACGCACATCCTCTCCTCTCTTTACATGCGATACCATCAATCTAAGCGCATCTTATATTTCTCTCACCCATACTTCTTTTCATCACACTTGCATTCTTTTGACCCGGCCTTATCTACATCTATTTCTTGTTGTTCCTACTATTCTTTCTCTAGTCGTAGTTCTCAGGAGTTGCCACATCCTTATATACTACTGCGCTGCAACCCAAAAAAATAAATAAAGAAAAAAAAACTCCATTATCAATGTCAGCTTTATTAAACCCTCTCAATTGGGAAGTTCATATGCCACCAACCATTATCTACTCACCTCGAGTTCTGAAGCTTCTTCAATCTGTCTCTCCACTTTGCTGCAATATGTGATACCAGGTAAGAAAATGAATAAATTTACGAATCTGCAAAGCACACTGAAAACAGATGGGATCCAGAACAGTTTAAATACCTGCATCGATGTACCTTTCCTCTTTAGACGCCAGATCCATATTCCTAATTAGTGTAAGCTCCTCCGATACAGGATCGGGTCCCTCTGGAGCGCTGAACAAAAAAGAGGTACAATTTGGTTAGCAACTGTGACAGAGTCACATACAGTAGTAATCCAGGAGATTCTTCAACAAACTAAAAACCTGTCAAGGAGGACATTAAAAATGGGCTTTGTGCTCTGCGGTCTGCCTCCATAACCAATCCTGATAGCATCTTCCAGGACTATCGCTTTATTCACATATATTGGAGCCTGTGATATGACAAACAAAAACATTGGTATTGGAGTATTCAAGCGGAAAAAGAGAATCAGATAGAGTCAGCGCACCAAGAGAGTAAGCGTACCTGGCATGCTCTTGCAACGTTGATGGCATCTGACGGCCGTGAATCAATGCATATAACAGCATCGTCTCCTGGCTGCAGGACAGATGGTTAAACTAAAGGCATAAAGACTTTTGACAAAGCGTTTCCTAACTAAGAAGATGTTTGTAGTCTACCTTGCCGAGATATAGACTTGCATAGTAAGTGCTGAATACTCTACTTGTAAGCTTCACCATTTTAACCTGTCAAATAATACAGAACAATTTGTTCATTGATACGACGGCCAGTACTAAATGCTCTAACTCAAGGTTACATGTATATATATTAACTCATGGTAACTCAAGGATACACTTGGAAGAGGTAAAAGGTAATGTTGTGAACGATACTGTACTTCATGTCCAAGTTTGTCGACAAGAGCAGACACAAACTGGAACTGATCAGGGAATTCCTACAACATAAGAAGAAAAAGAGAACAATATTAACGGGTGGAATCGAAAATGCAATCATCAGAAGCGTTAAGCATAAGCAGCATATTGATACCTCATCGTGGCCTTGCAGTGGTACGTCTAATAGTTTCTCAACAGCAGCATCCCCTGCAGGTAGGTGTAAGTGATGAAAGTTAGCACAGTAGATATAAAGAGGAGCAATCTGTAGAGTGGATTTAATGGACATACCAACAATAACGGGAAGCAAGTAATCACCATCACAAGAGATCTTGAGAAAAATGGTGGGGTGCTTGAATTGACGGAGGAAGCCAAGTCCAATAGGGAAAACACCAACCCTTGATTCACTGGCTCTTACAGCAAATGGAGGTAGATGCCAAGAAGCCCGCCACATGGAATCTTCCCGAAATCCATGTCTCCGCATTTTGTAATGCATACTTGTCTCTGTTTGTTTTTGTTAAAAAAACGATGGCCAATTCAGAGACATGCAAAAAAAAAAAAAAAACTGAAATTTCGAAATGAAATATGAAATCAAAATTGATTGATTGATTGATTGATTGATTGATTGAGACTAAGGCTGGAAGGAAAGTCACAGTCGGAGTTGGGATTTACTGAATCAGAGAAATTAAATAATAAGAAAGTCACATTGGGATGGATAAAAGCAGACCTGCAACGAGGACAGAGGCCTGAAGAAACTCGAGATCGGGATCGCCGAGGCCGGATCGGGAGGTGGAGCTTCCGTTTGAAGAATCGCAACAGATAGGAGAAAACTTAGGGGGGCGATGAGAGCGTAGCGATCTGAGATTCAACGGGATGCAACAGCGAAAGGAGGAGGAAGATGAGACGGAGGCGGAGATAGACCGAGAGATGGCCGTGGAGTCGGAGAAGAAGATTCCAAGATCGGAGGCAGGCACAGAAGAGAAGGCAACTCCGGGCATGGTCGTGGTGGTGGTGGAGAGAGAAAGGAAGAAAGAAAAAGTGAAGCAGAGCACAAAAGTAGAATGGGAGAGAAGACGTGTTATTTAGCTAATTTTTATTTTTACATCAATCTCTGATGTGAAGGAGATAAGGTTATAATGTTATATGATGCTTCATTAATCAAACTCGTTTACTCTTTTACCTTCTGCTCAAATTCTAAATTACAACACGTGGGTCTCTCCTTTTTTTTTGGTTAAGATGATGACGTGGAAAGTTAAATAATAGAACCCTGCGGATAAGGAACATCATTTGGAGTGAATGGAGGAATATTAATAATTCAGATAATACATATGGTGTCGATACAGACTAGTGCTTGAGATTTTTTGACTACAATAAAAAAAAAAATTGGTCATTTAAAATAAAATTCTTAAATGCAGTTGTAAATTTATATGGACTAACATTTTAAAAATAAGAAAAAATCACATACACTTATTTAGGAAGAATCGAACCTCACAAACTTTAACCAGAAAGCGCATTCACCTATTCAGAAATCAACTAAACTAATTTAAACTTTGAAATTTTGGCCTTAAAAAAATATTTAATTCATCCGATCCTAAATCACATGCTTCATTAACATGTGTTCAGACATGTATAGATGTGCCTAAATAATTTGTTTAAAATTGTACATGTTTCTTCACTCTTTTTATTTGGTGTATTAGCATAAGACTTTGGCTTGTGTATCTAAACGTGTGCTAATTTTTGGTGCCGAAATCAATAAAAATGGGAAGAAAACAAAAAGAAGGGAAAACCGAAAACACCGACCAAGTGTGGAAAAATGGTCCAGTGGGTAAATAGCGTCGCGTTCCAGAGATATCCGAAAGGTTTGACATCTTCTCTGCTTCGACTCGATGGGCCCCATGACGTATAATGTGTACTCGTTTTTTAATCAACACAATCCACACCTTAAAAACTGTAAAAGTTACCAGACAAACACACCACTAATACAAATTCCAGCTTAATACATTACCATTTGTTTACATGAACTGCAACTTTTTTATCCATTCTTCTCAAATCACCAACAAGCTGACATTATTATAAAACCAATTAAAAAACGAATGGAGATTACAGTTTTCATCTATTTTATCTATATATTTTCTTGGAATGTGGTTAGTGATACTCCAAGCTGTGATACATATACAAAACCGATGGATAAGATTAACAACAAACCGATTCTAATGAAGTGAGGAAGAAGAGAGTGGAGCAGTCCGAATCGGAGGTTCCATATTATTTTCTTCCATTTCACCTTTTCCCGTCAAACACTTTCCGGTTTTCTCATTCTAGTCAATGCCCATTCCAAAATTCAATCCAACCGACTGTGACTGTGAGTGTGAGTGTGACTCCAGCTGCTGCTGTTAAGACGAGTCTAGCATAGCTTCATCTTGAGTCTAGTACGGGGAAACTCTTTCAACATCTTCATCACCTCATACGTCCTTGTCTCTCTTCCAATGTAGAGGCAAAGGCCTAGCGGAGTTAACCCATCCTGGGATAGCAAGAAAAATAAAAGGCATCACCATTCATCAGAATCAATCAGTAGATAGATGTTTTAAAAAGCAGATATGAGTGAGATTAGGGGAAGATGAGGGAACTAGCCTTGTTCTTCACTTGTATATCCGCCCCTTTTATCAAAAGAAGCTTCACAATGTCGCTTCTTCTGGCCTGTACTGCAACATGCAGGGGCGTCCACCCGTCCTGAACACCCAAATTGTCAACGAGCTGATCACAATGAAGTTGTCAGCAATATGGGAATGTTTGACATCATACCCTGTCTTGAGCGTTTATCTCAGCGTTATATAGCAGGAGAAGTTTTATCGTGGGAGCTGAAGCTGTTTGCACAGCATAGTGCAACAAGGTTGCACCTTCCTATCACCAATAACCAAAATGGATCAGATCCAGCATCTGAAGCAAAATGGGGATCACCGAATCTTTAGGTGAGCACTTACATTATCAAGAACAAATGGGTTTGCCGATTCCCTCAGCAGGTAGTTTGTAATAGCCTGCTTTTTACCAATTATTGCTCGGTGAAGTGCAGTCAAGCCTCCCTAGAAAACCACATGAAAACAACACTAGATATACGCACACGCATAAAAAAAACAAGTGCACAAAGGCAACAAGTTCAAGTGACTCCACATACCACGTCGGTTGCATTGATATCGAGGTTGTGCTTTAGCAAGGAATCAACAAGATAAAACTCTCCCGATGCTGCCAGTGTGTGGAGAGGAAGCCATTTATTCTGATAAAACATTTAATCACCAAGACACTCGAGGCTCTCAGAGATGCTGCCAAAGTTAACCGCCAGAACGATACAAGAGTGCAAAAACAATTCACTCATCAATCATAAAGGGGACTCACGGAGGTGGCAACTGCTAGGTTGGGAATTCGGCTATTGAGCATGAATTTCTCTTCTTTTGAAAGCAGTTTCCGAGGGCCTGCGCAAGATGAGAGCCAAATAAGCTTTGCAAAAGACAGAGGATGCATCTAAGGCAAAACAAACCTACCCTCAGATTTCTTGCCACTGGGATCGTACTTGTCGCTGTTGAAGAACTTGGTAACGTGGTCGAATCCCTTGCCGTAAACCGCCCATCGAGGGTTCTTTGGAGCTACTCGCTCGCTCGAAGATGCTACACCGGTCTCTACATCGCCCGAGAAAGTGCTCGGTTTATCGAGAATGACAGGCTTCAGTTGACCCAACTTGGCTTCCTTGTACGTCAGATAATCCTTCAAGTCGACGCTCCTAAGCGGAATTAGGCCTTGTCTCTTCTTCTCAACCCGAACACCAAACTCCAGCTCCTGCGCTATTTTCCGCTTGTCCTTCTTCGTCAGGTTCACCTCCGCCTGGACATCCCTCCATTCATCCGGCACGAGGTTCTCCGGCTCGATCTCCGATTCAACTATTCTCTGGGCCCTGCCCCGCCGCTTCGTCTTCCGCCCCTGGATCGCGTCACGAGAAACGAGACTGACCTCCTCCTCAAGGTAAGGGTCATCAAAGACGCCGTCCTCGTACACGAGACAGTCGCCGACGATGAAATCATCTCCCGCATCCGGGAGAACCGAAGTTTGAGAAGAATATGAAATAGCGCATAATCGTCTGGGGAAAGTCAGGGAGTGAAGACGAGAGGAGGATGGCAGGAGAAGAGAGATGCTGTGTGGTGTGGCGAGCTGCATTCTCTGGCCTTATCGGAGGAATCTCTCTCTAGCTCTCGCTATCTTCTAGTGTACTGTACTTCTTCTTCGGCTGGTCGAATGTATTGGACAAAATTGGGCCCGATTTGAACGGGCTTTCTAATGAGCTTGATTAAAAAATGGCCCAACTTTGCGACTTCTTTTCGTTGAACGAGAGTGGAGGAAAGAAAAATAAAAACTCATCTTTACTTTGCTGCTGCTCGCTCCTCTGCTTGCTTTTGAATCTCGGCCGGATCTCGGCGATCGATCCTTGAAGATTTTAAAAAATCCTTTTCGAATATGATGGCGCGACCGAGGAATTATCGCCCTTCATCTCGGAAATCCTCGTATTCAACGGTCGTCTTCGTGGTATTGATTATGTTTACTTTCGTGATTTTGTTTCTTCTCGCGCTTGGAATTCTCTCCCTGCCCAGCAACAATGCCGGTTCTTCCAAGGCCAATGATCTCACTTCCATTGTCCGGAAAACTCTTCAGAGGTACGAAACGAATCCCGACTCAGTAGTGTTCTAAGATCCATTTGGAGCTTGATCTAGCTTTTCTTTTCAGAAGTGGCAAGGATGACTCAGAGAACGAACGTTGGGTTGAAATTATCTCTTGGGAACCAAGAGCTTCTATTTACCACAATTTCTTGGTGAGACTATCTCGATACACATAATCCGTTTGATACCAATGGGTAGTTATAACTCCCATATTCTTCTTCTCATCTCAAGTTCCAATATATACGTGCACGTGTAGACATTACTTTTATTCATTAGAGATATTAGTGAATTTTAATTAGGGAAATGATTAGTGATGATATGATTTGCTCTTGGTGAGCTACTGACTGAATGTGTATGTGTATTCCTCCCGGTTTTCTGGACAGACCAAGGAGGAATGCGAGTATCTAATAGAGCTAGCTAAGCCACATATGGAGAAGTCAACAGTTGTCGATGAGAAGACTGGAAAGAGCACAGATAGCAGGTTTAGTAGTTCTCACTCGACAGCATTGAGTGAATTCAGAAGCTTCTTCTCCTTTACTGACCATGCCCAACCCCCAACAGGGTTCGAACCAGCTCAGGAACATTTCTTGCAAGAGGTCGCGACAAAACTATCCGTGAAATTGAGAAAAGGATATCAGATTTTACATTCATACCAGTTGGTAGGGTGGTTTTCGCTGTTACGGAGACTTACTTGATATTTGACATTTTCTTAATCCCATTTCTCCCTGGATTTCTTAAGGGTATATGAAATAGCCTGGCTGGCTCTTCTGATTTGCTACAATATGCAGAGCATGGGGAAGGTCTTCAAGTTCTCCACTACGAAATAGGGCAAAAGTACGAGCCTCATTATGACTACTTCATGGATGAGTATAACACTAGGAATGGGGGCCAGCGGATAGCCACAGTTCTCATGTATCTGTATGTAACCGAAAAAAGTTTTGAGCTTTCTTAAGCTGTTGCTATGTTCTTCCTTAAAGGCTCATTAGCGACTGTGCAGATCAGATGTGGAGGAAGGGGGTGAAACAGTGTTTCCTGCAGCCAAGGGAAACTACAGCGCAGTGCCATGGTGGAGTGAATTGTCAGAGTGCGGGAAAGGCGGGCTGTCCGTGAAACCAAAGATGGGAGATGCATTGCTTTTCTGGAGCATGACACCTGATGCGACTCTAGATCCATCTAGTCTTCATGGTGAGTAGATGAGTTTGCAGTGTAACGCATACTGTTTTGTCTATGGTTTAATTTGAGACAATAAATTATTTGGTCCACTTGGGCAGGTGGGTGTGCTGTTATCAAAGGGAACAAGTGGTCATCCACTAAGTGGTTGCGTGTACATGAGTACAAGGTTTGAGGCTTTGAGCCATCATTGAGGTAATAAGTTTAAAATTCCAGCTTCAGATAGTGTTAAGTTGTAGAACACACATGGAAGTAGCTGCTTAATCAATTTTTTTTTTTGTTTGGTAAATGAATGGGGAAAAGTAGTATGTAATGCAAGAAGAAGAGTAATCAAGTTGTGATGCTACAGGGCAGCGGGTGGGTTCGCCTGAAAGCTGAGATGAGCCTCGTCAGAGTTTTGAGGGAAGTTGGGTGGGAAACCAGAAGAATAGAGAACAAGGGAATACAACATTACACTAGTAGTAGAAGTGAAGGCTTGGGATTTGTTTTTGATATATAATGTTTTAAAGGATTGAGAAAAATAAATTGCATTTGATTGATGAAATTGGGTGGTGTTTAGGGTTTTACATATCTTACAAGTTGGGGTTGGGGTTGGGGTTGGGGTTGGGGGTTGTTTAACTCTAAAAGAGAAGTAAAGGGAGGATTATCATCTGTCCTTTTGATTGACTAATTCAATCTAAGGAAGCAAAGAGAGGAAAAGGCCTTCTACAATTCTTAAGTCAGAGGAAGTGGGCCCCTCTCTGTTAGTATCTTTTTGTTTTTGAGCGCGCCCAAAAGTCAAGTCTTAACCACTTTCGTCTTATAAAAATTCTGGTTAAAAGCCAGCCTTTAGAAAGATTAGATATTTTTCTTTTTCTTTCTCAAGACAACATTTGATTTGATTAACCGGCAAAACAACGCAACGCGTGTTTTAATGTTAAAAAGAAAATTTGGTCAGCGGAGAGAAGAAGGTTCCTTCGTCTCCTTATGTATCTTTTTATTTTTTCAGACAATCCTAAAATCCATTCCCTTTTCCTCTCCCCCTTTGATTGCGTCTGTTCTTTTCTGCAGGGAAGCATAAAGACATGGATTCTTCTTATCCTCTCTCTCCTATTTCCCTCCTCCATCGGATCAAAGATTCCTTCCATTTCGCCATTTCCGCCCTCCTCGCTAACCTCTTCTCCGCACTCTTCACCTTCTTCTTCGCTTTAGGTTCGTATTCTTCGATTATTATCTTTCTTGGGTCACAAATTTTTCGGTGATGGATCGATTGGAAAGAAAAAGGAATTGGGATTTGGATTAGGATTAGGATGTGATGTTGTTGGAGCATTGATTGATATTTGATGGTTTTTGTTGTGTTCAGTGGGGACTTTGCTAGGAGCGTTGACAGGGGCTTTGATCGGCCAAGAAACAGAGAGCGGTTTCATAAGAGGAGCCGCCGTTGGTGCTATTTCCGGTGCTGTCTTCTCCATCGAAGTTTTTGAATCTTCCCTCCTCCTCTGGCAATCCGATGAGTCTGGAATTGGATGCCTTCTCTACTTGGTAACCTCACCACTATTTTCCTCTCGCTTTTTTTTGTTTACTCTTCGTTGGATGCCTTCTTCTCTTGATTGCTTTTTTTATTATTATTTAGATTGATGTCATTGCTAGCCTTTTGAGCGGGAGGCTTGTTCGTGAGCGTATTGGTCCTGCAATGTTAAGCGCCGTCCAGAGTCAGGTACGACCCACCATGCATTGTTTTATGTTTCCATCTTTCACTCACTATATATTCTCATCATCCATTTTGTGATATCAGATGGGGGCTGTGGAGTCACAGTTCCAAGATCATACAGACATCTTCGACACTGCCATCGCAAAGGGTCTCTCAGGGGATTCTCTGGACAGGATCCCGAAGGTCCGAATCTCCGACACCTCTGGGGAGATGGTCTCTTGCTCTGTCTGCCTTCAGGTTTATATCCCACTTGCCTCTATGCTCTGCTTTAAGAAACATTGTCATGTGAAGAGAAATATGAATTGATCGAGAGAATATAGCTTGACGAAATGGATTCACATGTTGGAAAGTTTGGAGATGTTTCGATAGATAGGTGACAAGTGGTTGACAGATAACTAATTGAGGTGTGGTGACGAAACAGGACTTTCAGGTGGGAGAGACAGTTAGAAGTTTACCGCATTGCCATCATATGTTCCACCTACCGTGCATCGATAAGTGGCTTCACAGGCATGCTTCTTGTCCCTTGTGCAGAAGACATCTTTGAATTTAACACCTCTCTCTCTTTATTCTCAACTTTTTGTAAATGAGGTATATAGGCCCACACACACACACACAAACTATACTAGTGTTCCTTTATTATTTAGGTTACAGGTTTTCATGCGTCAATCATATTGTCTCACTTGACTCATCTCTTTGAGATTCTGATTAATTAATGTTACATATTCTTTGCTTAGGCTTGATTTCATTTATCCAAAGTTTGGGATTGGGGTTCCACTGGCTAATCCCGAACGAGTAAGACTTTATATAAGCAATTCTCTACTTGCAAGAACATTGACAAGCCAAAGGAAGAAAGTTAATGGGATGGGTTCCAACAAGTCAATAGTTTCAGTTTTTAACATTATAACAGATGGGTTTCAGAGTGTATCTCGACACCTACATTCTCTATCTACGTCAATGGAGCTTCAGGGGGGTTTTTCAAGAGCTCAAAGGGTATAAGGTAGGGAGACCCACTGTCTTCCTACCTCTTCCTGCTTGCTATGGAGATTTTCTCACGTCTGCTTCTTTCTAGATATGAATCGGGTTATATCGCTTTCCACCCAAAAACGGCTGAGCTAAAAATATCCCACCTGATGTTCGCCGATGATGTCATGGTGTTCTTCGATAGTAAAAGCTCCTCTCTTCACGGAATTACTGAGTGCTTGGCCGACTTTGCGAGCTGGTCAGGGCTAGAGATGAACAGGAATAAAACTGAGCTTTTCTATGCTGGTCTAAACCACCATGAAACCGATGTTATTAACAGCTACGGATTCCCGGTTGGTTCATTACCAATCAGATACCTAGGCCTCCCGCTGATGAGCCGCAAGCTTAAGATCAATGAATATGACCCGTTGATTCACAAGATCACAGGCAAATTCAAGATGTGGGCTGTAAAATCTCTGTCCTTTGCAGGTAGAGTTCAGCTGATTGCCTCGGTTATTTCGGGCTCAGTGAATTTTTGGATCTCTGCGTTTGTGCTTCCGAAGGGCTGTATTAAAAAGATCGAATCACTCTGTGCAAAATTTCTCTGGTCGGGTAATATCGACAATGCGAAGGGTGCGAAGGTTGCTTGGAACACGGTTTGCCTCCCACAAGCAGAGGGTGGCCTTGGACTTAGACGTTTTTCAGTCTGGAACAGAACTCTCTGTCTAAGATTCGTCTGGCTCTTATTCTCGAACTCTGGCTCTCTTTGGACGCAGTGGCAAAGGTTGATACATCTGAAAAATAAAAGCTTATGGGCTATTGCTGCTACGAGCAAAGACTCTTGGACATGGAAGCAGATCCTTAAGCTGAGACATGATGCAATAAGGTTCTCCAAAGCTACTCTGGGCAATGGTAAACGTATCAGGTTCTGGTTCGACTCTTGGACCCCCTTTGGTCAGCTGATTCATTATTTAGGAGTCGGGGGTCCAAGGAGTACCCGCATCCCTCTGCACGCCTTGGTGGAAAACGCTTGTAACACTCAGAATTGGAAGCTGGCGACGCCAAGATCTGAGGAATCTTTAAATCTCCATGCCTACCTGACAACAATACCTCTGCCTTCTCAAAGCTCGGAGGATGATGCTTTTGAATGGTGTGTGGACGGTGAATGTAGCGACCTTTTTTCTTCTTCCCGCACTTGGGAAGCAATGAGACCTCGCGCTGAAGAGAAACCATGGGCGGAGTTGATATGGTTTAAAGGAGCGGTCCCTAAACATGCATTCACGATGTGGATTGCAAACCTCAACAGATTGCCTACTAGAACGCGTCTTGTCTCATGGGGCTTACAACTACCTATCTCTTGCTGCTTGTGTTCCATCTCGAAGGAGAGCCGTGATCACCTCCTTCTTAGATGTGATTATAGTTCTGAAGTTTGGAGATTAGTTCTCGATAGACTTAACCCCACCCAATAGGGGTTTCAGTCTTGGTCAGAACTACTATCGTGGATTAAGAATAGCTCAAGTGCGGCGCTAGCACCACTGAGGAGAATGGTAACTCAAGCTACGGTCTTTCACTTATGGAAGCAGCGAAATAATGTTCTGCACAACAACACCTCACTTCCCACTTCGGTGATCTTCAAAACTATTGATCGGGATGTTCGTAACACCATTTCAGCGAAGCGCCACCACAAGTGCTTTACTGATCTTATGATTTGCTGGATTAGATGATCTAAAGGCTGTCGTAACATTTTTGCTATCTTTCTCATCCTGTTCTACCTTGTTTTTTATTTCTTTTTTGCCAAGGTGGTTTCAAACTCTAGATTTGCTTTTTGTAAATCTTCCTTTCATTTTATAATGATATTTACAGTTTAGCAAAAAAACATTATAACAGATGAGTGAACCCAAAAGATGTTCCCTTTTTAAAAAAAAAAATTGAACAAATATCTATATATCTATATAACTCCAAGTTGAATGGAACGAGTTTCTTGGGTAAGGCGATACCACCACCACGGATAGAAACACAAATGGTTTTGTGAGAGGAGGCTTTGCTGAGAAGATCAGTGTCCGGGAAGAGGACAACCATCGTGGAAATGCCTTCTGACGCCTCTCTCAATCTGGTTGAGATCGGAGTATTTTATGTCATCTTTCTTTTCTTTGCCGCCTCGCGCAGTGCCGCCTTCACCAGTTTCTTTGCTATCCAACATTCTCACATTGATTGATCATCTTTTAGAAAAGTCATTTACTAAAATGAAATTGTATTTGAGTTCCTCCTACACATCAATTAATTAATAAAGCAATAGAAAGCCCTAAACACACAAAAAAAGAAGAAATGACTATCCTTGCATGGGCTCATTATTAATTTTTCTCAATATGGCCCGTTTATATATTCACCAATACTTTCGGCCTTATAAGAAAACGGGGAGATGGAAAAACTTTAGTAGTGTTTTCTGGAATCGTCCAGTTTCTGAAGCTAGTAGCTCCGTCGCGTTTCAATGGCATCTGCTCACTCCTTCGCCGCCGTATCTGTTCTCGCTACGGCCTCCAAGCAAGGAACAACACTTACATCGCCTTCATCTTCTTCCTCTACTCTCCACTCTCTTTCTCTTGGATTTAAAGTTAAACCCCGCGAACTCTCTGTCTTCCCTGACCATCGCAGGGCTGCGCTCAAAGGTATATCATCTTTCATTTTTTATTTATTTTTCGATTTTATTGAAGAATCCGAGTTACTACTCCTATCTGTCAACAAAAATGAGTGTCCAATTTTGTCATGAATGTTTGAGGTTTGATAAATAGTATCACACCATCAAGTCTTGAAGGGTTTTGGCGGTTGTTGAGATGGATCCTGAATTGGATTTGATATTGTGTTAGGGCCAGCAAAGGCGCAGTCGAAAGAGGCTGGAGCAAGTGTTGTGGGAGATACATTTAGTAATCTCAAACATCTTCTCCTGCCTGTGATTGATCGGAATCCTTATCTTTCTGAAGGCACTAGACAGGTTAGATTTCCACTCGTGTATTTATGTATGTATGTATCATCTTATTGATAGCAAAATCATTCTCCTCCCCCATATGTGATATATGTTATCTTCTCTCAATTGCTCCAGGCTGCTGCTACAACAACTAGTTTGGCCAAAAAGTATGGAGCTGATATAACAGTTGTAGGTAATATAACAACAAGAATCCTTTTGAATCACATCTGAGCCGGCCATTTGAATTCACGGCCTTTACTAAAACGGTTGCTTCTTCAGTCATCGACGAAGAAAAGAGAGAATCATCATCGGAGCATGAGACTCAAGTATCCAACATCCGGTGGCATCTATGCGAAGGTAATCTTAACTAGAAAAGACCACCAAAAAAAAGGTGGTTGTAATGTAGTCTGAGATAAATATAAACTATAAAGAGGCAAAGGAATTGGAATGGTTGGTGGCAGGTGGGTTCGAGGAGTTTAGGCTGTTGGAGAGGCTTGGGGAAGGGAAAAAGGCGACGGCCATAATAGGAGAGGTCGCAGATGAGCTGAATATGGAGCTGGTGGTGATGAGCATGGAATCCATCCACTCTAAGTTCATCGACGCCAATTTACTTGCTGAGTTCGTCCCCTGCCCCGTCCTGCTCTTGCCCTTATAATTATCAACCAACCAACCAACCAAATATCTGGTTTGGCTTTTCTTGTCTTGTGTTGTGTGCTCTCCAACGCTTCCTTTGAATTTCTCGAGAGTGGATCGAAACGTGTCGAGGTATTGAGATGCATGTGTCAAACATTTTCTGTCTTAATCATTACGTTGCGTTGCGTGTACTTTTGTTTGCTTTTTCCGTCAGAATTTAATCACTCTTATTAACGTGTTTTAGCCAAATTAAAACCCCCATTAGAAGAGAGAACATATTCCTTTATCTAGTCTCGTAGATCAAAACAACATAGAGAAGGTCTTAACCCAATAAAAATAGACCTTAGGCTTATTCTGTTTTTCTTAAGCATTTGTGTTTGTGTATTGTGCGACCCTTGGGGTTCAATGAGGTGAAATGAGAGGGTATTATTATGGTAAAAGAAAATGTGGGTTTGTAAACCTGGAAGGGCAAACACACACACAAAGGTACTCTTCCACCACAGTCGGGATCTTTATCATCGATCATCTCTTTGCTTCTTCTTTTTTTTTTTGTTTCCCAATCCGTTGTTACAGGATGGCTACGACGGAGTCTAGTGCTGCTAATTCGGCATCGCAAAACCCTCGCTACTCCATTGATTACTCTATCTTGCGATTATGTCTCGATTCCTCTCCTTGGATAGCTGATGATTCTGGTTCCGGCGCGATTCATGATGATCCGGCTCTTTCCCTTTCCCTGAACGATCCCTTCTTCCATACTTCTGACCACGACAATGCTGATAAGAAGCCTGTCTGGAACCAGCTCCGCGAGATCGGCCTTGTGATGCGCACCGAATCCTGGCCTGCGTTCGTTGTCTCTATCTGCTAGGCCTTCTTCCCGATTTTTCTGATGGATCATCCCCAATTCCGCAGGTTTTTTCTTTTTCTTGAAATTCACCTTTTGGCTAGTAGAAATGTTGAACCGATTATATGATGAGGAAATATATAGGGGGTTGACCAGCATCTGCGTATATAGGGGTTTCGTGTTTCTTTTCAACCTCATTGATTCAAAGCTTGTTTGATTAACTCTATATACATATATACTGCTAACACCAGGTATCAGAATCACGGCCAAAGGGGTGGCTCTTACGCTTCAGGAACTAGTCGCTCCAAAGAGTGCATGACAGCAACGCTAACCCTCATGGGGATGGCCTTCACCATGGAAACAGGCTCAACTTGGACCAAACCGGTTTTTCTCACCGTAACTTTAATGGGAGAGACATGCCTTGCAACCGCAGATGCTGATGGGGCCACCTTCTTTTCCTGCCAGTAGTGCGCAATATATGGCGGCGCCTCCTCAAATAGGTTCATATCATGCTCTATCCAGGTGTGGTTTCGGTGATCTCTTGCGTTCTCTCTCACCTCATATACTCCGATATCTAATTCCGCAATGCCGTCTGTATCTTTAGATTATGCGCCGCACCTCTTTTTGCTACATCCACGATCCACCCAAGAGTCTATGGCTTTGGTTGGACACTTCCCACCTCTACCCATTTATTTTCCCAGCTTGATGCCAGGGTGTACAATAAGATATTGACACAAGTAGAATATTGTTTCAGGTATTCGGTTTCTATCCCATCTTTCTCTCGAGTTTTCTGGTTGTGTTCCCACCTTTCTGGCCCACCTTTAGATTACAAGTGCGAATAACAATCTTTATCCTTCGGTAAACTTTAAATGCAGCGCTTATAACTTGAGCAAAGATAAACACTTGCGGCGTTAGATGAATGATGAAGGTTAGATACCTGTTAGTATAATAGCAGGGGTTCAGGAGAGTAAGTAGTTCCCCGTCCTCATTGAAACACATTTGTTTACACTAAGTCATCATCTCTTTTGAAGCCGACATGCTTTTTTCAGACTGCAGAAAGTATATCTTGTTATATAAAGGTGTTTGTTTAGAGTAATTCTCTGCAACGTGTGTAACTGATTTGCAGCTTGCGGAACTGACCAACATCATCCAGACTATATTGGAAGTTCAGAAGTTGTGGAAATGAAAGTATGTAAGATGAGCGTCCTCGTCTCTGAATTATGGATACAGATAAGATGAGAAGTATAATGATAATTAGAAAGGCTCAAAGTTTAATGTGGAATGAGATTGTAGGGTGAAGTAATATTAATGGGCTAAAAATGGACATACAAGAAGATGTCATACTCATTCCATCTTAATGGGCTAAAAATGGACATACAAGAAGATGTCACTAATGGGTCAGTAATGGGTTACTGATGGCATATGCACGATTCATTAGTGGGCCGAAATAAACATACAATGGGGGCATTAAATCAACAACTAATGGGCCGATAACAAGTCGTTCATGGACCATTGAAATGTTATTAATGGGCCAGTAATGGGCATTATTGGACCAGTAATAGGTCAACAGTGGGTCAATAAGCAGCCACTAATGGACCTCTAACGAACCATTAATGGGTCGAAAATGGATTACTGGGATGAGTCACTAATGGGCCGATTATAGGGCCTGTTACGAAAAGATGTAACTAATGGACCAGTGGCCGATAATGGGTCGATAATAGGTCGTTAATGAGCCGATAATGGGTCGTTAATTGACTATTATATGGGTCGTTAATGGGTCGTCGTTAATTGACCATTAATGGGTCGTTAATGGGCCGACAATGAATTGTTAATACGCCGACAAGGAGTCGTTAATGGGCCGCCAATGGGTCATTAATTGGCCGAGAATTAGCCGTTAATGGGCCGTAAATGGGTCGAGAATGGGCCGATTATGGGTCGTTAATTGGCGATAATGGGTCGCTAATGGGCCGTTAATGGGCCGAGATTGGGTCGTTAAATGGATCGTTAATGGGCCGAGAATGGGTCGTTAATGGGCCGATAATGGGTCGTTAATAGGCCGATTATGGGTCATGGGTCGATTATGGGTCGTTAATGGTCGTTAATGGGCCGATAATGGGTCGTCAATTGACCATTATATTGGTCGTTAATGGGCCCACAAGGAGTCGTCAATTGACTATTTAATGGGTTGTTATTGAGCCGATAATGGGTCGTTTTTGGGTCGGTAATGGATCGTTATTTAAACAATGGGCCAATAATGGGTCGTTAATTGACCATTAAAATATCACTAATGGACCATTTAAATGTTACAAATGGACCATTAACGGGTTAGTAGCAGAGCATTAACGGGTTAGTAGCAGAGCATTAACGGGCCATCAATGGTTCTTAAATAGGCCTTTAGGAAGCCATATTAAATGACGAAAATTGACATAATGGGCCGTAATAGAAAGGGTTTTTGTTTTTAAAGCTCTCATTTACCATATTCCACAAAGCTAGTTACAAGTTCGGTATACATGATACATAACGTGTACATCTCTTCACAAAACATCAACAAAAAAAATCGAGGGAAGAACAAGTGCTCAAGATTTAGAGAATGCAAGGAGCGTGGCATCCAAGGCCTTCCGATCATAATCTCCAGTGAAAACGCAGTTACCCAGCGGGCCTTTCAGAAGAATGAGCCTCAGCAGTCCATCTGCCACTTTCTTGTCCACCTGCATTACAACATTCCAACACCCAAATTCCAATGAATCTTTGGCACACAGGTCCAAAATATTTTTTACTTAGACCACAAACTAACCGCCATTATGGACTTGAACATGCTGACGGTCATGCTCTCTGGCGGTGTTGTAGGCAATTTCGCTCTTTTTAAGATGTTGTTCACTCTCTCAACGATCGACTCGTCTATCCAACCAAGACGATATGACATGTCCACTGCCATTACCTGAGAAATAACTTACAGCGTGAACCATATGTCGAATGTTGGAGAGAGTTAGGAGGTTAGCTGTATGGCAAAAGAGAGAGTAAAAGATACCGTGCCAGCTGCAACAGCCTCTCCATGGAGCCACTCTCCATACCCGAAGCCAGTTTCTATGGCCTGCATAAAGAAATGATAAGTCAAGCGTGGATCCTGACCTGAAAGTATGACCCATATCCAAAGAGGCCGCTACAAACTACTTACATGGCCAAATGTATGACCCAAATTCAGGGTGGCTCGCAAGCCGCTCTCTCTCTCATCTTGTGACACAACATCCGCCTTGTTTTCACATGATCGCTTAATAGCATAAGCTAATGCAGCCGGATCCCTGCAACGGAAATTATTACACCATTTTCATAGAGATAGACACACGAGCTCACTGCCTTTGTTTACGCGGAATGTTAATAAATCACCTTGCCAGCAACGCCTCAATGTTCTTCTCCTGCCATTCAAAGAACTCGGCATCCCTGATAATCCCGTACTTGATCACTTCAGCAAGACCTGAGGCCATCTCCCTATCTGGCAGTGTGTTCAACGTGTTAGTGTCAACTAGCACACACTGTGGTTGGTAAAATGCACCGATCATATTCTTTCCAAGGCGATGATTTATGCCTGTTTTGCCACCTACAGAAGAATCAACCTACAAGGAAATGAAATGATGTGCAACGACAAATGGAAATGTGTTACTGGATGTGGAAGATTTAGACAAGAAATTTCTACTACAGAGTAGATAAAACATGTACCTGTGCCATAACAGTGGTAGGGATTTGGATGAAATTAACACCACGCAGGTAAGAAGCCGCAGCATACCCACACATATCACCTATCACGCCGCCTCCAAGCGCAACAAACGTACATCGTCTATCTAGGCGAGACTCGATGGCCTTGTCAAACACTTTCATGAGAGTATCCTAGAGAGAATGGCCAGTCTCAGTTAATTATTGATTGACTATATCAAGAACTGGAAAATCTAACTCGAAGGTAACACATACCATGTCCTTGTATTTCTCTCCATCAGGCAAAATAACACTCTCCACTGATACGTTCGGATTTCCTCTTGTCAAAGCATCTACGGTCTTGTCCAGGTATAAAGGAGCAACTCGTTCATTAGTGACCACAAGCACTCTCTTTCCATGAACATGCCTATTCATTCAACAAGGAATTCCATGTGAACAAAACTAAGGATGTGCGCAGCGTAAATATACAAACAAATCCAATGGGCGCAAGCTTCATATGTATCTCCAACAAGTTACTCAATCGACACTAACGCCTAAAAATGTCAACATTCGATCGGTTTGCTGGTTGATGAACATTAAAGATAAAACAAACGCACAAGATTTCATGAAATACAGGCGAAGATGGTCACATTTTCACAGGGTATTCACACTCAAAAATAGAATCTGCCTTACGGGAGAGAATATAACACCTTTGAAGAAGTTGTGACTGATCGAGCAACCCGGCGCCGATATAGATCGGATAACTCCGGTTACCCAAATCAACCTCGACGATTGTGGGAGGAGTGGTGGAGCGTTTCTCGTTAGCCGGTTCGTTCATCAGCTGGCTCGCACCGGCGGCGCGCATACGAGACCTGGAGATACTGGTGGAAGATAAAGATAATTCCCCAGGTATAGACTTTGAAGAAGAGAAAGGGAAGCAAATGGTTGGGGGAGGAATCAAGCCACGGGAGTCAAGAGAGTGGAGATTCTTCGAGGCGGCGGCAGTGGAGGAGATGGAAAGCGAAATGGTGTTCGCAGCCATGGAAATCGATCCGGATCACAAGTCGAGAGATCTCTGGGTTTGAAGAGAAGAAGAATTTGGGGTTGGTGAAGAAACACACAATAATAAGGACATTTGGAATTTTGGTAGTGCGGTATGGTTTAGCGTGGGTTGGTAGGTGAGTCTCAGGCCATTGAATAAATCTCCCACCACGCAGCGTACGCTACACCTCATATATTATAACCGTCGGATGTTCAATATCATTTCGTGAAGTATTATTGGACGGTCTGGAAGTGGCCACGTTTTAGTACTCTACATTTATACTAGATGGTCGGTCCGGATATGGACACGTCAGATAAAGACGACCAGCACTCTCCGATAACACAAAAACGGTGCCAAAACATATACCCGACCCGCGAAAAACTGAACCAGAAAAGATTGAAGAGGGAGGGGTTTTTACGGGATTCTTCTAGTGTGTAGCAAGCAAAACACTGTCACTGGGACGAAAGTTAAGAAAATTTGAACAAGGGGACGACACGCCGGTGAGTCGTCGTGAATGCTACAAGTTCTCCACTCATCTGAAATCCTTATTGAGACTTTAATCGAGTAATCAAGTTCCGTTTCCTTCTCCGTAAACCCTAGGCGCTAGGGGTTTTCGACAGGTTTCGCCGATGGGGAAAGGAAATCAAATGGTTGGATTATCGTTGGATGATGGAGATGACGATGTTTCGTATAGCTTAACGTCATCTCCGTCTACTGCGAAGCCGAAATCCAGGTCCTCGGGTGCTAGCAGAACCAATCCTAGAGCGTCGAAGAAAGCTCGACTTTCGGGTGCTAGGGCGAGTAAAGACTCGAGTCACGTAGACAAGGCGTGCTTTCTTTCTCTCTCTCACTGGATTTGCGTCAACAGTTTTCGTTTACTTTTGGCTCTTCACCTTGATGAATGTCCTGAGTTTCGCTTTTGCAGATCAGATTGTCTTTCGAAGATTTCGATGAAGCTTTGAGCGGGTTCAAGGCTTCTGCTGGTACGCTGAAATCGCCTGCTTGCTTCACGGCTTTCTCTTTTGTCGTTGTTTCGATGATGCTTTGTGCGGCTACTGGCAATTCTTAGTCTACTCGTTCTTGTAATATCTTAATTCATTTATTTGGTCTCTTGTTTAGGCTATGAAAGGAGCATGAATACTGATTTATGGGTTGACAAGTACAGACCTCGCACCTTGGAAGAGCTTGCTGTTCACAGAAAGAAGGTATATTTCTTCTGTGTTTACCTTCTTTGTTTCACATGCGCATTTTTTTTTTTTCTAATATATATGTTTTAGGTTGAACAAGTTAAATTGTGGTTTGAGGAAAGTTTGGATTTCGCAAAGGTAATATTTGGTTCACCTTTAAAATTACTTTATGATTTCTGAGCTCATGATGCGTGATTGGCAGTATTCACTTTGGTGGCTTTTTTTTTTTTTTAATCAGCACGATGGTTTTAGGAATAATGTTCTACTAGTCACGGGGCAAGCTGGAGTCGGAAAATCTGCTACTATCCATTTGATTGCGTCTATCCTTGGAGTCACAGTGTATGAGTGGAACGCTCCTATTCCTACAGTCTGGCAAGAACATGTGCATAACTCAAGTTCAGGTACACATTTTTTGCACTGCAATTACAGGACAGGAAATAATTGCTGTTCTACTCCAGCGATTATCTGCTCATTTTGGTTTATTCTCCTAGGACTGAAGTACACATCGAAGTTGGATGAATTTGAAAACTTTGTTGAGAATACAAGAAAATATGGAGTGATTGCTTCGTCGAGTACTGCAGGTATAAAAGCGCGTGTTGTTCTTTTGATTGATGACCTTCCTCAAGCCAATGGGAGGCTCGCTTTTGAAAGGCTGCAAAAGTGCTTGATTCTCTTGGTGAGATCAACACAGATGCCAACAGTGGTATTAATCACTGACTATGTTAAAGTAGACTCTTCTGACCAGACTGCGCGAAGCATGGAGGACGTTCAGTCATCTCTTGAGCGAGCTGGGGCTTTAAAGGTTGATTCATCAAACTATTTGCAGTCTTGATCTAATGATAAATATGATTCCTTCAACTCTAGTTGTTTGTCCGGGTATGTATTTACAGATCTCTTTTAATCCTATTACGAAGAATTCAATTAAGAAGACACTTCAGAGGATAAGTAGTGAAGAGCATTGTAAGGTAACGACTGTGGAGATTGATCAGATGGCGAGTGCCAGTGGAGGAGACATCAGACATGCTATTACATCTTTGCAACTGTTTTCCGTTAAGCCAGAACTGAATCATACAAAGATGAAAACACCATGGCCTGGCATGGATAACAGTTATCACAGTGGTTTGGATAGTGGAATATCTTCTTGTTTTGGTAGAGATGAGACCCTTTCGTTGTTTCACGCCCTAGGAAAGTTTCTCCACAACAAAAGAGAGACTGATAGTGTTATTGTATCAGGTAGTTCGTCACCCGGAAGTTGTGAAAATGCAATTTAGAGCTCAGGATAATTGTCTTCTAAAGCTAATGTTTGTGTCAGATTGCAGTGACTTTATTGTGCATGACCAGTTTGCAAGGTTACCACTGAAAATGGATGCGCCAGAGAAGGTTCTTGGCCAAGCTCATGGACAAGCAGGGCGGGTTGTGGATTTTCTACATGAAAATGGTATCAAATCTTGGCTCATTTTGACTCTCCATTTTCCTTCTTGATAGGGTGACACAGGAGAGCTTACTTAGACTTGCATGTATGTGCGCTTTTCCAGCTGAAATATTTGCTAATACGGACTCATTTTCTTTATGAAGTGTTAGATTTTTTGAGTGACGGAGCCATGGAAGATGCCTGGTGTGTGGCTTCGTATTTAGCGGATGCTGATCTCCTTCTCGCAGCTTTAAGAGGAAAGATAAGTGGGCATAACAAAACAGAGGACGTTCTACAGTCAGCTGGTGCCTCAGTTGCTGTTCGCGGTGTGTTGTATGGAAACAAGCAGCCATGGTCATCCAGGTTTCTTATACAAACGGATGCCACTTGATTGTATCATATGTTGTATGTTAGATGTTTCAGTTATAGATTGGTCTGTATCGTGAGTTTGCAGATGGCACGTGATTCGCAAGCCAAAACTCTGGCAAGTGGAACAATCCTCAATACAAACCAAGGTCAATGTCTTTTCCTTTTCTTCTGGAACTTATACATGCCCAAAGTCCAAACTTTCTCTATATGCTTACAAATTTGATGTGTGAATGCAGAAGAATCTGAGAGAGCAGAGAAACTTAGGCTTTGAGGGGTCAAGAGTGGCCGATATGTCAGTGATGGCCACAGAGTACAGCCCCGTGATGAAATGGCTAAGATACAGCGCATCTCCAGACGTTTTTGCAGAAATAGAGGAAAAGATGGATGAGGAAAGTGAGATATCTGAAGATGATGAAATACAAGATTGGTGACATTTATCCATCTTCAGTCTCTTATTAGTTTGGTGAAATGAAACTTGTATGATAGTTCACGGGGAAAATTAGGCTAATTGATCTGCTTCCTTCTAATTAGCAAATTGACATTCACTTCTCCATCTAACAATGTGCACAGCGAATTTTATCCTTGGTTTGATCAAAGTTCAAGCGAAATCTAAATTGAGGTGTAGCAGGTCTTGTAACAAAACATAGAAAAGTAGATAACAGAGAAAGGAGACCAGAGTTGTTAAATTGAGGTATTGTATTATCAAGTTTCCTTTGGAGGGCCTTTCTTGGCTGCTTCTGCGGCTGCCTTCTCCGCTTCGATCTCGGCCACAATAGCATCAATTTCAGCCTCTTCTAGCTGGCGCAGCCCACTTTCCTCCCGAGTCATTACAGCAACCTCAATGTTCTTTCCTCCGCTCTCGACTACCTGCAATGCAAAGCGCCGATACCATTCAGTGACAATGATAATGACCCAAAACAGCAACTATTTTTTTTTTTTTGGTTTTAATCAGGAGGAGAAATGTTGGGAGTGGCCGACCTCGAGCAGAGCACGGATAGCGAGTTTAACAGTTTCTTGGCCGGAGGATTCTTTGTAGTTCTTTTCCAGGAATTCCCTAATCGAGTTGGAGTTTCTGCCGGTAGCATTAGCTTTCCAAGCAGAGAAAGTGCCAGAAGGATCAGTCTGATAGAGGGATGGCACATGAGAGTAAGGGTCAAAGCCGACGATAAGAGTAGAAAGACCAAAGGGTCTGACACCACCACTTTGGGTGTACTTCTGTTGAAGCCCCGCTATGTACCGCGTGATGTACTCAACAGTCACTGGGTCCTCTAGTGTAAGCCTGTGGCTTTGACACTCAATCCTTGCCTTGTTGATCAGCACACGTGCATCTGCCTTGAGACCCGCGCATGCCAAGGCAATGTGATTATCAAGGCTCACAATTTTTCTGGCTGATCTGTCGGGAGAGAAACACACACATTTCTCTCACAAATTCCATATATATTGATATTGAATAGGTCGCAGCATTATAAGAGAATGGTTCAAGTTCAACAATTTATAACAGGGAAACCAAAGCCATATATATTATAACCGAAGCTGCGACCTCGTAAGAAAGAGTAACATAGACATTCGTATAAGGAATTTCACATCATTTTCTGATCAGAAACAAGATTCGTTTTGCATACTCGGAGGAGAGAGTGAGAGCTAAACTAAGGTTTCAGCTGCCGATTCCAAAGATTAGGAGATTTCCTCAGCTAACAAGTTTTACAAAGACCAAAGTAAGCATTCGTATCAGCAGCAGGTCATAAATCAACATTGTTCGTTCAACTAGCAACTACATAAAACAAGCAAGCGATCCAAAAAGAATAATCGGAAGAGGGATCGGGATCGGGCCAGAAAAAATAATGTAAGGAGAGATCGAAGTAAAACCTAGAATCCTGAAGCTTAGGAGTAGATTTCTTCTCGACGGCGAGGACGACGGTGTCGGTGCCGCGGACTCCGACGGCGGCGTTACCCTTGCGGACGGCTTCTAGGGCGTACTCTACTTGGAAGAGGTGGCCGTCGGGGGAGAAAACGGTAATTGCTCGGTCGTATCTAGCCATCTCTCACGCCGTTCTCTTTTGTCCGATGATACTTTTGCTTTCCTTTTCCCAGGGAGAAGAAATAATAAAGAGACGAATCCAACTTAAGCGACAAGCCAAAAAAAAAAACTGAAAAAGAGAGAGAACAAAATTATTAGCTCCAGATCTTCTTTATGGGCCTCAAATAGCCCACAAACTCCCAGAACAGAAGGCCCAGTTAGGAGTCGAAAGAAGAAGCTCCCTCCCGCGCGTTTCAACTGTCAAAAAAAAGACTCTCTGTTTTACCAAACCGTCGAAGAAATGACTCGAGATTTTCATTCATGAGAATTATTCGATACAAGAAATTTTTAAAAGGGTAAAGGTTAAGTCGGAGAAAATCATCCAAGAATCAGCTTTCTTCTTCTCCGTTGTTTTACAGGTTTCTGAGAAAATTGAAGCAAAAAAGTACGAATCTCCATGGGACCAAGCTCTACAACTAGAGCAGAGCTGTCAAGGGGTCCGCCTTTTAGCGGAAGGGAAGACGAAGAAGAAGTTTGTTCGGCTTCACCCTCCACTTTCCATCTCATCTTCTCCTTCATCTTAGCCTTCTCTTGATTTGCTGCCAAACTCATTTCTTTCACTTGTTTGATCTACAAACAAAAAAAAAGGGTTTTCAAATCACCACCTACATACATCATGTAGATAGATGAGCAAGTGATTGCTTACGGTTTTCCCATAAAACAACTTCTTAAGCTCGACTTTAGCGAGAGTGGAGTAACCAGGGTCTTCTCCCGCCTGGAAAGAAAACAAGAGTCAAAAAAACCGTTTGATCTCTGTGTGTCACAAATCAAGACAGTAAAGAGAATGAAATTGTAGGTACCTCGTAGAGATGAGCAAGGCGGAGAAGGACGTTCCCGAGATCAAGCTCCTGAAGAGTGATGAGAGCAACGTTTGGAGGGAAGGAGTAGAGGGGATCCATGGCAAAACCTTTGACAGAAGTGGAGGCTTTCCATTTCTCCTTGTTGTCGTGTGTGAATGCCATTACAAGAGGAGAGTAGATTTCCTGGCCAGTCTCTCGTCTCCACCTCCCTCCTTCTCCTACCTTATTTATGCTTACATAGTGATTCCCACGAACCTGCATTTTTTATATATGCTTTTATTGAGAGTTTGCCTGATCAACAAATACACACACACACACATATATGTATACCGTTAATCCAGAGCAGGTCCCATTGATACACACAGTTTCTTCAAGGCTCTCCTCTACTCCTCTCCCATCATCCATGCACGTACGCCTGTATACTACATGTGTTCACTCAACCACACAATAATAACGTTCCTTTTTTTAGAAATTAAAAAAAAAAAAAAAATCAATTGGGAGGGAACCTGTGAAGCATCAACTCTATTTCACCGTCCTTGATACTAGCACCCCCTGTAGCCCGATCAACCAACACTGACAGCTCTGATTTCTCGTCTTTTGTGTACATTCCAAGATTAAGCTGATATTTCACTCCAACAATGCGTTAACAACACTTGTGCAAATTAAGCCATCCAACACTAATTTGACTACGTGCACTCCAAAAAAAAATAATTTCCAACAACTGCAAATCAACAGTTTACCGGATAGTAGTTTCCTGCTATTGGCTCATTCACCTGAAGAAGCCAGTCTGTTCTGTTATCTCGGACCTGCAAGGGATACAAAGTTGATCATACCATATTTATTGCCACCTGACAACACAGCAGTATATATTATAAAAAAAGAAATTCTCCATACCCGTTTCAGAAAGTCTCTTCCGTTAGAATCAGTATAGAATGCCTTCTCTGTAGTCATATTTGCTACCATCCGCGTTATAACCTCTTTCCCGATGTAATCTTCACCAACAGGTATTGGACCAATCTGCTGATTAAAATGAGATCTTCTTTTCCAAACAAAAAAATAAAATAAAAAGAATATTGAATTGGAGTTTTGATCAGGAACACTCACAGTGTACTCAAACTCTGCGTGCTCTTTTTCTTTGTACACCCTTATCACCTAAGATAACACGGATCTGTATCAACTAATGATTCTCAATGGGAGCGGTTTGTATGGCTTTATAATTACCCAAAACAAAAAAAAAAAAAAACAGTAACTAAGAAGCTCAAGTTGTCACATACCTGTGCCACCCAAGGACTAAACTGTTGGTGCACTTCATCTACTAGAGGCCCCCGCACAATCTGCAACTTTGGCTGCGTATTGCCAATGAAAGCCCTTATCATATAAACAAGTACTTTGTATTTCAAGAGTACAAAGACTATTATCATCGAGGATATGGCTACATATAACCAGTGAGTAGAAGAACAAAGAATAGCTAGAAAGTTTTTATCTTATACAGTATCTTGTTACTCAGTATCTCAATGCTCTTGAACTATCCAGTTATGATCTATAGATATGGCTATATATAATAGTACTGATTCATAGACTCACTTTCGACGAAACAGCATATGCCAAGGAACCATTAGGTCGGAAAATATATGCACCGGAAGCCTGGGAACCCCACACATTTGAAGCATACCAGAAATAGTTCTGATGCACCTCTATGTTAGCCTGAAAATATATTATTAGAAACAATTTTGATCGAATCTTTTTGTGTAAACCATATTCCAAGATTTTTCAGCGTGCAAGAGTAGACGAAACATTACTCCTGTTCTCAAGTTGTAAATCCGTTGGAGAAGACCAGAGTTTGGAGAGAAGACAATCTTTAGATTTCCTGAACCAATTTCAGTCATATTGGTCATTGGACTAAAGATCGCTGGGGGATTGTTGCTTCCTATATGATGAATGCATGATACAGAAAAAAAAAAAAGAAGAGAATCATGAGTTTAAGGCACTGCCGTACGTGTACAGGTAACTTTCTGTCGAAATTGGACAGATTAGCGTGAGCCTTTGTTTTTTTGTTTCTCTCCATACCTTCCCGGCTTGCTTTAGAAATGAAGAATGTGTTCCAACCAAGCGGCGGCACTGTTGCTTTAAACACGAGCCAATACTTTGGAATCTGCGGTGAAGATATTCCCAAATAAGCTCTTGTGTATTGATTTCTCAGGTAGCTTGTGACATTATCCATGGGGATGTACTGAGCATCAAGGGTGTTTCCAGATGAATCTTCCACGGTTAAACCTGCATCATTGACCTGGTATACATACCCTGACTCTTAGTAAAACAGAGAAATCGTGAGTCTCCATTAATTGACCTCGAAGAAGCAAGTAAGCTAGATTAACAAGAAAAGAAGTAAAAAAATGTAAGAAAATGTAACTGGCATCCTGATGATTTCTGTACGATTCCATGCAAGGGAGTTATAGGCCACCAGAATCTGAATTAAGATCAAACACACTGAGACAGTTGAAGCCTAAGCGCAGACCTGAGCTATATATCCTAACGACTGCTAAGAGATGTGAAGGAAATTACCAAGCTCTTCTGGCCTGCAATGGTTTCTTCCGTCGCTGGGCAATAGCTGATATTCATCAACGAGCACTGCCCATTTGATTCCATGACAAGGTATAAATATGCAGGTTACTTACTAGTAGATAATTTTTTACTACAAAACTCACCGAAGAAGAAGAACATATAAAAAAAAAAAACACTCATTATATATCTATAACCCACATGACATTACAATGAGAATGGAATTTTCTAAACACGAGTTTCTAGGATATTTAACCTGGGTGAATGCTATCTCAGGCTCTGTGCATGCCTTGCTCAATAAGCGTGCCAGCGCAAAATTCACCACAGCTTCTGACTAAGGAAATATACAATAATCATAATTAATATATATATATATATAAATTTACTGATAAGGATGATCAGCAAGAGAAGAGAAGAGTTTCTTGATAAAGAATTCCAGTATTATATATATATATATATATATGAGTGAGTGTGTGTGTGTGTGTTGATACCTCAGAAGCACCAAGGGCTAGGCGTTGGATGTAATCATTTGTTACATGCTGCTTGGCAGTTCCAGTGACAGCATCATGGTGCTGCGCTATTCCTAGGGCAACCCCAAGGCTGCAAGTGTTTGGACCTCCAGATTTCTTGCCCACCAGAGACTCAAGTTGCCTTGCAGCCTGTTTGGAAAAGAAAAGACAAATGAAGGCTCTTAATTATGTTGTGTGTCCGAATTTTCACAAAGAAGATATAGATTGAAATCAGGTTCTTGGATCCAATTTGATACCAAGTAGTAACCGCTAAGAGACCGAACATAATGTTTAAAAGCAGGGCGGCTGGTGAAGTAGCCAGTCCAGTAGGCGCTTTCCCGATCCGCATATCTACATCAAGACAAGACTCAAGAGTAGAGAGAGTGAAAGCCAAAAGAAAAAGAAAATTGACTAGTCTAGAAATGAAGCCACTGACGGGAAAAAGTCAAGCGTCTTGAGGGGCCAAGTGACATTGGCATCATCATTTTTGGCATCAACATAGAGAGATGGTGTGGAGTACAAGGCGTTGACACGGCCATCCTGTGGGAGTAAGTGTAAGACTAAATGTGAGAATTGGTGAGAATCGATATATATATATATATATATATATCAGTGAGGGGGCCGGGTGAGACTGAAATTAAAGATGAAACCTTGTTAACATAATGGATCAGCCTGTCCATCTGTCTGAACCAAGACTCGGACAACTGGTACTGAAAATCATCACCCATTGTCCACATCACATGGTTCCCTCGACTCACATTGGCCTGTATTCACATGATGACATAGATTCACTCAGGAGCCGCCAAGAAAGAACATTAAAAAAGAGAGAGAACAAATTAATTCTAAAAAAAAAAAAAAAAAAACTTACGTAAAAGAGAGAAGCATTGACGAAATTATCAACGGTCTCCTTAACGTTGTAGGCGTCGAAACGAGGGTCATCCTGGAGGGGCACGTAATCATCGCTGACTTCGTAGTGAAACCCAGTGGGCGGGCCATAGTGGACCGGGAAGACATTTGTGAATATCTGAGATGAGGAATCGAAAGTTTTGGATCCTCTCCATATGAATTCGAGTGATTTCTCGGCCTTGCGCTTCTCTCTGTCTTGGTAATCGATTCTCGCCATGTGCAGAGAGTCGAACCCTAACTGCACTCACCAAAATAGCTCGAGCTCGAGTGGTTTCTTTTCTTTTTTTAATTTTCGTATATCCTGTTTTTTTTTTTTTGGTTTCTAAAGTAAAAGAGGACGCACCTCTGCTCCCAGGAGGTAAGCTTGGAGAGAGGAATGACCAAAGGGATCGATCTGCCAAGCAGCACGAGGAGTTGTATTGAATTGCTGCTTTATAAACACATGCCCCAACGTGGTCTGATCGATCATATCTATGTAATGGCACGTTGCTTCGTCGTTCATACTCCATCCTCCATTTCTGCACCGCACATCCATTAATTAATTCATCTCTGTGAAATTCATTAATTGTAATGATCATCAAATATTCAAAGGTTGATTTGATTGGTAAGCAAACACATATGCATACACAAACTCAAGTTGTCCGGATCTCACAAGCCTCCTCACTTGTTCTTTTGTCTCCGGGCTTTGTTCTTCCCACCAACGCGTAAAGAAAGCCTTTTTTTTTCCTCACCCAAACACATGTATATAATAAATGTTTTCACATTGATATCCCCCATATATAAATTAAACATGGTTTATGACTTAAAAAACAAAATTAAAAGCAATTAATGTTTCACCATTTCAGCGAACACAAACTTTCTATTGGGATCGCGACGCAGCGAATCCACCACTGAGTCCAACACGTTCCTCACGCATGCTTTCTGATGAAAAATTGTTAATCACACGATTATTCCATTGAGGATATACAGTATTATATATGATTCTTCTTCTCTAATATCAATACTGTATGTATGTTTATATACACCTGGATACTGTTGTTTGATCCAACATAGTACTGATCAACGGTTTTGAGCCACCCGACATCATCATGAGAATGCGGAACAAGATGAACATTAAGTTTCCCCGGCACAACTCTAGCTTCGGTTCCATACTTCACGTATCCGCCATTAACGCTGCCAAGCGACACCCAGAGAGCAGAAACAATTACACAGACTGCTGTTTCCCATAAAGACAAGCCGGATCTCGCCATTTCCGAATCCAGCTTCTGATGATGTTTCCTTGTTTCGTACATGTGTGTGTGTGTGTGTGGAACCAACTTATATATAACAAATATGGAGAGAAAACCGAGGGTCAGAGCAATAGACTAATCCGTATCGTTGCTTTTTCTCAGATCCGACGGTCTTAATTACTACTGTTTCTCCATTGTTAATTGCGACTGGATTCTCAATTTCATCACAACTACCAGTCTCTATTTATTAAGGAGCTCTCTAATCTTTGACCAACGATAAAAGTTATTAATTAAATACTTGTTTCTGTAATAAATTAATAATCTATTTTTTCGACAAGAAATCTTTCTATTATGAAAAGGTTGATTATTATTTTTTCGTAATGTCACACTAAATAAATATGTATGTTGTCACGCTCTGACTTTACGCACATAAGATTATAATGTTTTTGTAGGTGTTTCTCTCTTTTTTTCCTTAAATATTATATACAAATTTGTATGTACATATAACAAAAATATTACTGAGATTTACTTTAAAAAACTTTAAATTAATTTTAGGGATAAAAGAATCTCCTTTCTAAATTTTCTATTTTGCTTATGAAATCAAATATGATGATTTAGATAACTTTTAGTTAAATAATTATTAATTGATTTGTTTGTTTGACACTAGTTAATTGGTACTTTTAACAATCGCAATAAATTTATTTAAAAAGGTTTTTTATTTTATGCTTCTATCATGACTATTTCTTGAGTAATATAAAAACAACTGAGAAAGCTATGATTTTGTTCCTCCAACTATTATGCTGAATACACAAATCAAATACATTTCTAAAATAGATCAATCAAGTATATTGTAATGTAAGAGACTCAGATAATGCAAACCCCTGACTAAGCTAGTGAGATGGAGCAGAAAGAATAGTATCAGCTCAAAGTTTCATTTCAATTTTTGGTATGGTGGTGATTTGGGCGGACGACTCCAGAATGTCAACAATGCAACTCTCTGTCCCCAAATTACACTGGGTTAGTCATGCTTCAGATGTATGGAGCACAAACCAACTAACAGACAACGCACACAAAATGATCCAAGTATATTATATCTAATCAAATGCCAGAATGTTGTGTAGCAGGTCTTGTAACAAAACATAGAAAAGTAGATAACAGAGAAAGGAGTCCAAGAGTTGTTAAATTGAGGTATTGTATTATCAAGTTTCCTTTGGAGGGCCTTTCTTGGCTGCTTCTGCGGCTGCCTTCTCCGCTTCGATCTCGGCCACAATAGCATCAATTTCAGCCTCTTCTAGCTGGCGCAGCCCACTTTCCTCCCGAGTCATTACAGCAACCTCAATGTTCTTTCCTCCGCTCTCGACTACCTGCAATGCAAAGCGCCGATACCATTCAGTGACAATGATAATGACCCAAAACAGCAACTATTTTTTTTTTTTTGGTTTTAATCAGGAGGAGAAATGTTGGGAGTGGCCGACCTCGAGCAGAGCACGGATAGCGAGTTTAACAGTTTCTTGGCCGGAGGATTCTTTGTAGTTCTTTTCCAGGAATTCCCTAATCGAGTTGGAGTTTCTGCCGGTAGCATTAGCTTTCCAAGCAGAGAAAGTGCCAGAAGGATCAGTCTGATAGAGGGATGGCACATGAGAGTAAGGGTCAAAGCCGACGATAAGAGTAGAAAGACCAAAGGGTCTGACACCACCACTTTGGGTGTACTTCTGTTGAAGCCCCGCTATGTACCGCGTGATGTACTCAACAGTCACTGGGTCCTCTAGTGTAAGCCTGTGGCTTTGACACTCAATCCTTGCCTTGTTGATCAGCACACGTGCATCTGCCTTGAGACCCGCGCATGCCAAGGCAATGTGATTATCAAGGCTCACAATTTTTCTGGCTGATCTGTCGGGAGAGAAACACACACATTTCTCTCACAAATTCCATATATATTGATATTGAATAGGTCGCAGCATTATAAGAGAATGGTTCAAGTTCAACAATTTATAACAGGGAAACCAAAGCCATATATATTATAACCGAAGCTGCGACCTCGTAAGAAAGAGTAACATAGACATTCGTATAAGGAATTTCACATCATTTTCTGATCAGAAACAAGATTCGTTTTGCATACTCGGAGGAGAGAGTGAGAGCTAAACTAAGGTTTCAGCTGCCGATTCCAAAGATTAGGAGATTTCCTCAGCTAACAAGTTTTACAAAGACCAAAGTAAGCATTCGTATCAGCAGCAGGTCATAAATCAACATTGTTCGTTCAACTAGCAACTACATAAAACAAGCAAGCGATCCAAAAAGAATAATCGGAAGAGGGATCGGGATCGGGCCAGAAAAAATAATGTAAGGAGAGATCGAAGTAAAACCTAGAATCCTGAAGCTTAGGAGTAGATTTCTTCTCGACGGCGAGGACGACGGTGTCGGTGCCGCGGACTCCGACGGCGGCGTTACCCTTGCGGACGGCTTCTAGGGCGTACTCTACTTGGAAGAGGTGGCCGTCGGGGGAGAAAACGGTAATTGCTCGGTCGTATCTAGCCATCTCTCACGCCGTTCTCTTTTGTCCGATGATACTTTTGCTTTCCTTTTCCCAGGGAGAAGAAATAATAAAGAGACGAATCCAACTTAAGCGACAAGCCAAAAAAAAAAACTGAAAAAGAGAGAGAACAAAATTATTAGCTCCAGATCTTCTTTATGGGCCTTAAATAGCCCACAAACTCCCAGAACAGAAGGCCCAGTTAGGAGTCGAAAGAAGAAGCTCCCTCCCGCGCGTTTCAACTGTCAAAAAAAAGAGACTGTTTTACCAAACCGTCGAAGAAATGACTCGAGATTTTCATTCATGAGAATTATTCGATACAAGAAATTTTTAAAAGGGTAAAGGTTAAGTCGGAGAAAATCATCCAAGAATCAGCTTTCTTCTTCTCCGTTGTTTTACAGGTTTCTGAGAAAATTGAAGCAAAAAAGTACGAATCTCCATGGGACCAAGCTCTACAGCTGGAATATCTGGTTCTCAACAACAACAACAAAAATAATAATTTACTTGTTTCATCCATTAATTACGTAATAAAGTATTGAAACTGGGAAACTTAAAGCCGCTGAGGAGACTAGAAGGTTTGGGTGGAGAAAGCAAGGAAAGGCCTTTTTAGGAGCGCCTGAAAGTGGAACTGGAAAGCAAAAGCCAATCGACTTTTACGGTCGAGAAAGATGAGAGTTGTCTCGCGCTGTCTACTACTTACAGCTCCTTTTCTCACTTCTCTATTACATCTTTCGGCTGCCACCGTCGTCCTCAATTCTATTGCCGCTTCTTTTCCCGATCTTCCTGCCAATTTTGGTTCAATTTCTCCCCAATCCATTTTTTTTTTAAAAAAATTCCTTTTTTGGCTTATCGGAAATCTCTTTTCCAATGAGGCGGCTCTCATAATTAGTTGATTGTGATTTATGTTCGTTCTGTGTATTTTGTTACTCTAGACGGCTCCGTCACCAGAAACGGAATATGTGGAGCTCTGTACGTCGCAGATCCTCTCGACGGTTGCTCGCCGGTGCTCCACGCTGCCCCATCTAACTGGACAGAACAGAGAAGTAAGTTCGCTTTGATTATCAGAGGCGAATGTTCTTTCGAGGATAAGCTGCTTAATGCTCAGAACTCCGGTTTTCAAGCTGTGATTGTCTACGACAACGTAGACAACGAAGATCTCGTCGTTAGTAAGCCTATTTTCCCCCATTTGTTCTTCTCCTAATAGGCTCCAATCTTGTTGTTGAGCTGGAGTGAGTTGAATTTCAGAAAATTTAGTCAACGCCACAAGCCCAAGGACTTAATGAACATCTGTTTTGCACAGTGAAGGTAAACCCTCAGGACATTACAGTGAATGCAGTTTTCGTTTCAAATGTTGCGGGTGAGATCTTGAGCAAGTACGCGAGAGGCCGAGAGGGTGAATGCTGCCTTTATCCGCCGAGCAAGGGGAGTGCTTGGACTGTGCTCGCCATCTCATTCTTCTCTCTCCTTCTAATCGTTACCTTCCTCTTGCTTGCCTTCTTTGCTCCTAGACACTGGACCCAATGGCGTGCCAGGCTCAACAGGACTGTGAGAGTTGATGCACAGCTGGTCCGGACACTCCCCAGCTTCACGTTTAGTGATTCTGGCCTGCACAATTCCGGAGAAACATGTGCGATATGCCTCGAGGATTATAGAGTTGCAGAAAGCCTAAGACTACTTCCCTGCCAACATGGTAATAACTGCTATTCTTTCTTTTCTGTATCTTTTATTTTTTCCTGTGGACAAAATGGAAACTTTCCACCATTTATGTGTTCGTTGCAGTCATGTGGATGTAAATTTATGAGATTGCAGCTACTCTAAATTTGGATATGGTCCCATCACAGGATTGAAGCATCTGCGTAACCTAGGAAGACTTTAATAGTTTCTTTAAGATTCTAAGTTCCCAAAATTGATTTCTTTCCAGGATTACTGTTTCTGCTTTATGGTTTTAGTGTACAAAATATTCCCATTCTGTCAATGCCAACTAGACTAGTTTAGCAGTGAACATGAAGTTTCGGGTATTACCCCATTGCTTAGAATGATATAAATGGGTCAAATGTGCACATCCGAAGAGAGATCAAAGATTAGGCCTTTCTTAGTTTCTGAAAGTGGGTAATTCATATCAGTTGGTTCACTTGAACCGCTCTTATGCAGCTTTTCACTTGAGTTGCATCGACTCTTGGTTGACAAAATGGGGTACATCCTGCCCGGTTTGCAAGCATGATATTAGGACCGAGACTATGTCTTCCGAGGTGAGCCCATGAGACTGACTCTGTTTCCATATGTATTGTCAAATCCCTGGGTAATTGTCCGAGTAGGTATTTGCCATTCCTTTTGTGGTGGATTCAATACACTGTTTTTTTTTTTTTTTGTGGTTTAACTAAATACAAATATATTATAAGAAAAAGTTAAAATTCAATACACTGTATGTGTTGTTGCAGGCACATAAACGAGATAGTCCTAGAACAGATACAAGAACAGAGTAGATAACTTTGCTCGATCCAATCAAAGCCATAATATTTATTATTGGCTTATGTCCAGATCAGTGCTCGGTTGTGTGGATCAGGTCCACGTCCGCATCGATCCGATATTTCAAATGATATTGAACAGTGAATCATGTTGGTATAGCTGTATAAGTATAGGTAAAGCCTTTGGATTTGCCATATTGGTCGGGTGTCGATACTCTGCTGGTTTTTCCCGAATCAAACAGATCTGAGTTGCTTTGCTTGCCGGCTTGTTGTTGTTCTTTCCCTGTGTACTTTCTTTGTATATTTACAGAAGGATGCTCCATATAAATGATCATTGTGTGTGCGCCTGTTGTTTCGTGATATTTTATCTGCGAATTTGATATCAGTTTATGTTTTTGAGTTAGAATCTTTGAGTGTGTGTTCTTACATAAATGCAGACAAATCGATAGAAACAATCTTTGATCTTATCAGATTCTCTCTCCCACATGAGTTGGAGAAGTTTATCATGGCAGATGTTGAGATACAAGATCCAGGCCAATCTTTTATGTTATCTTGTTGATTCTAAATGAAATCTTTAGTCCTACGTTTTGTATAATTTTAAACATTGAATTTGAGTCCCTTGCATGGTGGAATGGAATCCATTGAACGAGGCTATGATTTTTATATTCTTTTTATATCTGTCTTTAACTCTTATCCGTGTAACAACAAATAAAGAGAGGAAGAAAGAAGACGTTATCCCTACCTAACGTCTCATCTAATACAATGACTCATTCATTCATGGGGTCGTTAGTTGCGTAATTCCATCACCATTAACTTTGTGTCCACCAACAAAATTGGTTTTCACTTTCTTTCTTTTTTTTATTTTTTTCTAAACTCAGCAAACATTTTTTTATCTCATAATCAATGATCAGCAACATGAGAAACTGACGTTTATGTTCATGAATTTATTTAGTTTTGGGTTAGATTAGGGTCATCTAATTTGTATTAGTCTTGGGGCGTTCATGTTGTTGATTTTCCCTGATTTGTCTTTTCTCACTAATTTCTTTTCAATATTTTTTTTTTTAACTAGTGAGAACTGAGAAGTGAACACGTTTTCCATGGAGGCCTCACTTACCATAGCTGTCGTCCAACTTCTGTTAGACTTTATCTTATATTCTTTATAATATGGGTTATAGATTTCATTTGCTTTGTGTATAGCAACAAATTTCTAGTGGTTCAATCATTTACCATTTATACATAAATGGTTTAGTATTTAATATCTAAACTGAACATGCGTATGTATAAAATAAATGACAAAAAAGAAAAATATAGATTTTGTTTTATGGTCCGATTTGCGGGTTAATATTTATTATTATCTGCTCTCTTCTTAAAGCTTCATCCTTTCTTTTCGTTTTTTCATTTATTTTTGTCCTGAGAAGATGTTTCCTTCAGTGTGCAGCTCAAAGCCAGAAGAAGTTGTTACTGTTGATGTGAGCCAAGCCAAGACTCTCCTCCAATTTGGCCATCAATATCTTGATGTTAGGTGAGTTCTATCTATTGGCCCATCATCACTATAATTGCATGTACCAATTCAAGCTGTTAACTAATTTCTTGCACATGCAGGACCCAGGAAGAGTTTAGGAAAGGCCATTGTCAGGCACCTCAGATCCTGAACGTTCCCTACATGCTCAGCACACCTCAAGGTTTATCAAAATCTCAATCAACTTTTAGATATCAATACAAAATATAAAACTTCTGCGATCTGTGTGATACACTAGGAAGAGTGAAGAATCAAGACTTCTTGGATCAAGTCTCTTCTCTTCTCAACCCAACTGATGATATCCTTGTGGTAATTCTTTGCTTCCTCATCACACCCACAAGAAATGAAAAAAAAAAAAAAAAAAATCACCTGTTTTTTCTTTAATTACCTTTTGGCCATGAAAGCTCAAAACTATATATGTAAGATCGGCTGGTACTTGGTTCAAAATCACATGGAAAGTCAATTTTTTTTGGGTTTATTAGTTTGAAAGCGATCTTGAATCTGAGAATGATGATACACAGGGTTGTCAAAGTGGAGCAAGATCCTTCAATGCCACAACTGAACTTGTAGCTGCGGTAAGACTTCCCCCAACACAGTACCGATAAAAATGTGTTTAGGAAAATAATAATTTGTTTTAACTTTTAATATAAAATCAGGGTTTCAAGAAAGTGAAAAACGTGGGAGGTGGCTACCTGGCTTGGGTGGATCACAGCTTTCCCATCAACAAGGAGCAGCAATCTGCAAACTAAGATTCCCTTCTCTTTATTTCTCTTATCAAATAATGTCAGTGTGATGATGTAGTAATAATAATCTACATATTTGTATTTAGAATTTCAGTGTGCTGTTATCAAAATTCAAAATGTAGTACCAAATTTAATAAAAGCTGTTTTTATAAGTAACTCAGGGATATATACAGTAATTGTTTTTTTTTTTTTTTTAATTACTTTCCGATGATCATCAATCAGTCTTACAAAAGACAAGTACTGTAAATGGAGCCAGTTTTGCTGGTCGGTCAAAAAGTTTGGGCTTTTGAGTAAGATATATAAAGGCTTGGGCTTGTCTGCGTTTGCGCATACTAAGCCCTTCTCTTAGTTGTTCTCCGGCGATTCTCCGACCAAGCAGCACCCCTCTCTCTGCCTCTGCGGTTTTCTCATGGGAGAAACGTCCAAGCTGCAGTTGCCGGAGACTTTCCTTAGCTTTCTAGAGGCCAATGGCCTTGATCCTTCGATCTATACGCACAGAGATTCAATTCCACGCTATGTAAGGTAACCTCGAGAGAGTCCCTTTGCTTTCCTCATGGTTCCGGATGTTGGTATTGAAATCCAGAGATCCTTGTCAAGGTTGAAACCTGGGTTCGAGGATTTGGTCGGGGAGATTGAATATGAAATCAACTGTAAGCTGGAGAAGGTGAACTGGTTACCTGGGTTTTACTCCATTCCTCCAGATGTTCAAATAGCGAGATCCATGGCGTATCAGCAAGGGAAGGTGAGAGAGCAACCAATAACCAAATTTTAATGTCAACCGCCTTATTTCTTCTTTCTTCTTTCTACGGGTTTTGTGTGGTCTTTCAGATGTATGGAATCGACGCAGCTTCCGGTGCCGCTGTTTCAGCTCTTGGTATCTCCCCCGGAGACCATGTCTTGGATCTTTGTGCTGCTCCTGGTAAATTATTCATCTCTCTGTGTTGGTTCTACCGAGTTCATGGCTGGTTTTGTTTGCTTGTCTTTCAATACATTCCGTGTATAACTTTGTGTTCATTGGTTGTGGTAACAACTTGGGTTTAAACGGGGAAACCATCTCTCAGGTGCTAAACTATGTATGATGCTAGACCTACTGGGTGAGAAGGGGACTGCAACGGGTGTCGATGTAGCAAGGCATCGCCTTGCCGCCTGCAGAACAATGCTTCGAAAATATGGGCTTGGTCAAAGGAGCCGGCTTTTTCTTGCTGATGGAACCACTTTCTCAGTGCCACCTATCACCAACCTACCATGTAGAGCAACACTTGTACATTTTCATCAGACCATATGTTCCTTTAAGCTTTCGCTAAAGAGGTCATTTGCTATGGTTTTATTCAGGTGGGTCATGTGCGGACGACCATGAAGAAACATTTAAGGAGTGGACTTCTCGTAGACCTTACAAAGAAAGAAAACAAGAAGCCAAGGCCAAGAATAATAATTTTTTTTTGCCGCAGAATGGACAGCCGGAAATTATTTTCTACGGACAGAGTTCTGGAGTTATAGGGCTGAAAAAGAAGGAACTTTATAGACCCCTTGACCAAAAGGATTGTGGGTATGACAAGGTGAAGTTGTGATCTGCAGATGCAGATATAGTCACTTAAAAAATAACATAACTAGAGAACTGAAGTGTGGTTTTGCAGGTTCTTGTGGACGCAGAGTGCACACATGATGGTTCGATCAAGCATATCCAGAAATTTGAGCAATGGGGTTGGACAACGCTGGAACGCCGTGTACTAGACGCTGAGAGAACCGATAGAAACCTGACAGCTCTTCAGGTAAATTCCATAAGGCCGTTTGTGTCTCTCGTGCATCTGTCCTTGCTATTTCCTCTGTGGCGATCATTGCCAGGGTCTTTGTTTGCAGTTAAATCTACTGAGAAATGGATTCAGATTGTTGAAACAAGGGGGCACTCTTGTATACAGCACCTGTAGGTAAATTACAATAAGCTCTGTGTTTTATTTAGCCTTTGTTTTTTTATTTTTTAACATGAACCAGTGATCTAAGTGATGTAACTATCAGTTTGACGCTTGCCCAAAACGAAGATGTGGTGGATCAGTTCCTTGATGAAAATTCATCTGCAGGTACATATGAAGTAACATTTTGAACAAACTAACAACAATTTAGTGTTTGAGGTCTTTCACCATAGGTCAATAAAATTTGGTTTGAGTCTTGGATTCGTTGTTCTTTTACTAATGGACTAGCGTGAGATTAAAAAAAAAGGCTAACAGAAAACTCGGGTAATGCAGAGCTACAAGAGATTGAAACGGCCAAGGATTGGCCGTGTACAAGTGGCCGCACTCCAAAAACTGTGCGTTTTGATCCTTCCACCTCAGCAACCAGCGGCCTTTTTGTTGCAAAAATCAGGAAATTGGCACCAAAAGAAGCAGCATAGAAGATTGTGTTGTGATGCCTCATTACCTTAAAGTTGATATGAAACTTGATTCAAAAAACTCGTTTATCCGATTGAACAAGTTTACATTTTAACAAAATCAATGCAGTTATAGCCGCGAAAAGCTCTCGAGGCTCCAGAGATTCCAGATGTTAACAATCAAAATTCAGAGCCACACAATTTTGTTGATCATTCTTTTTCTTCACTGTAAATCTCCACAATTATCTCTTATATAGAACACGTCTCCTTAGTCTTAGTACACTTATTGCTCCTCTAATCCATCTCTCTCTCTCTATTTATATATATTATTATTATTATCTCTGAAAAGTCTGATATCATCAAAATACAATGTATTGTTTCAAGAAAGAGTAGTTTGGTGGGTAATGATGCTTTCTTATGATGAAATTCTTCCATCAAGAACAAGTGAAGGAAGAAGAAAGTAGCAGGATTTGACGAATTGACAATGCATCAGCTTTATCTACATAATTCATAATAATAATAAACCCCTCACAAGCTTCCTTAATAGACTTCAACATTCCACTGCTCACTCCTCTTCAATTGCTTCTTGTACTCCAACCAATCGATCCCTGTTCAAAGCCAAGTTAAAACCATTTGCAGTGAGACTTGTTCGGTTCCCCAAAAAAAAAAAAAAAAAAAAAAAAAAACTGAAAAGAAATGAAATGAACGTGTCTTACCATCTTTAGCAGCAAGTGAGACCATAATCTCATCGATTCCCTTCTCCATACCCTTAAGACCACACATGTAAACAAAGGTGTTGTCTTTCTTCAGTAACTCCCACAGCTCTTCTGCATACTCTGCCATTCTTGTCTGAATGTACATTTTCTCTCCCTTGTCGTTCGTCTGCTCTCTGCTCACCGCAAAGTCCAGCCTGAAGTTTTCTGGATTCTTCTCCTTCATCTTCTCAAACTCCTGTTCTTATCCACACAGGTCAACAACTTTTGCTACAAGACAACATTGGTCATAATTGAATAGGATATAGCTACCGTACCTCCTTGTAGAGCAGCGAGCTGCTTGTTGGTACACCCAAGAAGAGCCATGCCAAACCGTTGAACTACATGCATATGTTACATATATGAAGCCAATGGATGTCAATAACTGAGTGAGTTACTATAATTGGCGAAAACTGTGTGTAAGAGAGTTAATTTGCTCTTGGTCTCACCTTGTAGTCCTCATGCTCCTCAAAGAACATTTTCCACAAAAATGATCTGAACGGAGCTATTCCAGTTCCGGTTCCAAGCTAAGGAATAGGAAAACCACAAGTAATCACTACAACTGTTAAATATTATTGTATATCTTATAAAATCCTTGTCCATACCATGATGACGGTGGCATTTGGGTCTTTTGGCATAAGCATTTCCTTTCCAACAGGTCCAGTGATCTTTGCTTCATCACCCGGCTTCAAGTCACCTGCAAATCCCCAAACACTAAGAACAGTTTAAACCGTAATTAAAAAAAAAAAAAAACACCATTATTCTTCTTCTTCTTACACAAGAAGTTGGAGCAGACTCCCTTGACAAGCTCTCCATTATCGTTTGTGTAAACCAGTCTCTTGACACAGAGAGAAACCTGCATAAAACCCATTGCAGATAAGAGAAGATCATCTGTATTGGTCTCCATTAATTACTTGTCAGAGAGGGAAAGCTTACGGTTTTGGAGTCTCCGAAGTCACCAATGGCACTGCTGGCGATTGAGTATAGCCTCAGCTTGTGGGGTTTGCCGTTCTTGTCAATCCCCTCTGGAATCACTCCTATCGATTGCCCTTCTCTATACGGAACCTCACCTGATTCATCATCATTTCACCTAACCTAATCAAATCTCGCCCTCGATCCAATCCATACGTTATCTCGTAGTCATACTATGCGAAAAATCAAAACTTTCTGAGAGCCCCTAATCAATATTTGGATTTAAAGCGTACCATCGGTGCTGAAGACAATGTGCCAGGTTTCACCGGGAGCGTCATCGCCGGTGATCCTGGTGTTCAAGAGGCATCGACCGGTGTAAGGGTTCTTAGGTTTGAATTTGTTGACAACAATTCCTTCTTCCTGTTTCTTTGACTCCTTCTCTACTTTCACTGGCGCCTCTGTTGTCACCTGAGCCTTCACTGAAACTACTCTGCCCCCAATACAGGCGTCTCTGTAACACAGTGTGCTCTGTAGATATACCAATTATGCATGTCAATAAAGACCTGACTTTTTCCTCACACTCGGAAACTAGATGGCCACTTGTAAGTAAAAAAGATGATAAAAAACGAGAAAAAGAAAATGGTACCTTGTTGAGGAAAATCCTTTGATGGGAGACGAAGGATGTTTTGGTGGGGAGAGTAGAGGACTTAGAGGAAGGGAAAGAGACTGCAGCGCTTATAGCAGCAGCCATGTTTGATCACAATGGAAGAACTAGAGATGGGCCTCTGTCTTTCTTCTGGGCAAAAACAAAAAAAATAAAAAATTATGATAATAAGCAAAAAGATCAAAGCAAAAAAGGTTAGAGGAAGCTATATGATCAGGTTGTGATTGGATGTGTGTGGATTGTGTGAAGGAAAATGCGAGGCCAAGTGTAAGAGGATAAGTTATTACAGCTTATCATTGTCCCAGTTTAGCATTGCCGATTTCATGCGCCTATTGTTTACTACTATCCACCCAAATTAAAATAGAGTATGTCTCACTCCGACACATAATCTAGTAGTTACTGGGCTACATAATGGGCTTGATCAATTACTAATAGGCTTCGTGGACTCCTCTACTTTGACTTGTCCATGGTTGGTCAAAGCCTCACAGTCAGGTGTATGAATACGCTTTTGTTGTTGTCTCCACACATACACCAGAGACCAGACTGTCAAAGTCGCGTTGTTAATCTGACCTAAATGACTAATATACCCCCTTCCTTTCTTACTTCTACTACTATTGACTTTTCCGTTGCAGGTCATTTCGACATCTTACTTAGGCCTGGATTTTTCGGGAATCGAGACGGGAATTTACGGGTAGAGAATGGGAATGAGAATTTTGGGAATCTGAATATACTATCCAAAATATTCCCACAAACTAACGGGAAGGAAATTTATGGGTATGTCACGAGAACGGGAAATTCAGGAATCAAAACATACTATCCATACAATCCCAAAATAAAATATAATCGGAAAATGGACGGGAAAGGAACAGAAAAGGGACGAGAAAAATTTCAGATAATTCGGATAATTAATCTAAAATCAATCTTTTTAAAAACAAATATATTATTTGTTAATAAATTAGAAAAAATTATTATTTATTATAAAAAAATTTCAATTAACCAAAATCTCTAAAATTTCATTTTCTAATAATTACCCAACTGGAAATTCGGGTAATCCCATTTCCGTCCCTACCTTTTCCCTTACCTATTCAAATATTATTTTCAAACCCGAATGGGAACAATTTCCCTTTCTCGAAAAATTCGGGAATTTCGGGACGGATACAGGACGGAACGGGTTACCTTTCCCGAAAAATTTAGGCATAATCTTACTTACCCTTTTAATTACCCCATTACATACAATATGCAATTAACAACAAATAAACATCTTTCTCAATTCTCATCCCCGAGAGGATTCATTTATTATTCCCAAACAAAGGGGGGTGGTAATTAGTACATAAACAACGTCACTAGTGAAGAGAAGAAACCACGTCCATTTATATTCACCCAACCTACAGTATGCAAATAGATAGACTACTACAGTCATCGCCGATATTTTTCTCATTTTCAAATACATGTAAGATTATATGACTAGATATAATGGGATCCCTCTTTAATCATTATTTTTTTTTTTAAAGGAAAATAAGGAGTTCGTCTCAGACGGAGGAGAGCCACTCAGATCCTGGCTGGAAGATCATAGAAAAGGTGTGTGTTGGGTTGGTTTGGTGTTCTCTCTCTCACACAATAATATTATTTTAGATAGAATGGGAAAAAAAAAAATTGGGTATTATGAGAGAATCAAATTACAACTGGAATCTATTATCTTGCTTTTGTGCCCTGCCCAACCATTAAAACTGAACTTTGGTCGAGTCAGGGAATGCCACGTGACGATCTCAAAATTTCCTCCACCTGGTGACGCAACGAGCGAGCTCTTTGGTAATTTCAAAGTGTCTTTCGTTTGCCTTGGCTTCACACAACCAAACCACTTTACTTATCTCCCCCCCACCCCCCAAAGACCCACTTCTCTTACAACCAACATTACATATACATACTGATAAGACAAATCAAGCATCCCAACAAATTACATTTTTGACTCCTCTTCTAGTATACCATTTTTGACTACCGAGGATTCCTGTGGCATGCAGGGCTTGGAACTCTCTGCGAACTTATGCTCGCTGTTCTTAGAAGTCTCCTGAACTCATGCAGGCTTATTTTCCCGTCTCTGTCAATGTCTGCTTCATCCAGAAGTGGGTCGATTGAGCCTCTTAACCCCGTGTGCTGAATCCACCAAACAAATGGGTTATTTTTTTTCTTTTCAAAATCATCTACTAGTAAACAAACAAACAATAAGAGGTTCTAAATAAGGTTACCATTCGAAGCTCCTCAGGTGTTATGTACCCATCTTTGTCTATATCGAATTTCTCAAAAGCTGCTCGTGATCTTAGCTGCCATTTCTCTGAATCATGTTCTTCCAGTTGATGAACATGTAGAGCTGCTGCTACAAACTCTGTGAAGTCCACCAACCCATCAGTGTTGCTATCAATCTGTGTCCAACAAAGATACAACCGCTCAATTTATGGAAAGTGCATCTCTGATCTCTCTTTCATAATGATACCCCCAGAGATGCAGTTACAATGGCATAAAAGAAAACTGTAAACTACCGCTTGAAGGATCTCCGCAACTCGTGAATCCTTCAGTTTCCAAGGAAGATCCTTGGCAAGTGCCTGTAGAAGCAAAAAGATACAATATTATCTTATCATCCGTAGATGTAATTACTAGCGTTCTTAATGCAAATTGTCATACAATTCCCTTACCTGTCTCATCTCCTCAAGACTAATGACACCGTTTTTATCCACATCAATTGCATCAAACTGATCTCTGAGGTCAGAAATCTCTGCCTCGTCAAGTGTGCTAGCAAGCGCCTGCCAGAAAGGGGGACAAAGAGCATAAGAGACATGTCCTAATCTCTTTGTAAAATTATTTTCTTAAAGCTACCTCTTTGGGCTTACCCGTAAAGCAAACTGCTTTAGACGGCTGTATCTCACAAACTGACGTAAGTTGTTCAGAACTGAAATGTCGACAGGGATATCAGTGGCATTCCCTCCTTCTCTAACCCACGCATGTGCTGCAAAGGCAAGAGACAAAAGAGCATTAGTCTAAGATTCCGTTGCAGATGATAAAATCACCAACTAGTGCCCAAAAGCAAGAACTACATACACAGGGCTTGAGCAGCAGTTAGCCGAGCTCGTGGATCTTTTACAAGTAACTTTTTAACAAAATCTTTCGCGCTGTCACTTATAGTTGACCATGGTTTGCGACGGAAGTCAGGTTTGTTCCTTAAGACCTATAGACATATAGTAGAAATTAGTAAGAAGTCAGAAAGAATAAGAAAAAGGTGTATGTAGAACTATCCAAAGAAAGGATTCTCAACTACACCTCCTTAAATATACCATCCTCTGTCCTATCCCAGAAAGGCCGCCTTCCACAGAGTAAAATATACGTAATAACACCAATGCTCCACACATCTGATTCAGGCCCTGATCTGCGCTTTAGTACTTCGGGAGCAACATAATAGGCGCTACCAACAATGTCATGGAACCTTTTCCCTGAGAAAGATTGAGTTGTTTAAATTAACGGAATAGGGTCTACCACTTTGTTAGTGTGGATTCTGATAGCTTCTACTTACCTGGTTTAATGAAATCCGATAAACCAAAATCTGTAGCCTTTAGCGGCGAATCCAGTTTAGCTGATTTGAACAAAAAATTCTGCAAGGCAATTGGAAGAGGAAAACAGAAGGTTATAATCACAAAGAAACAACCAAGGAACCACCTCGCTGTTTATACAAGAGAATGTACCTCTGGTTTCATATCTCTATGTACTAGACCGTGTAGATGGCATTCTCCTGCGACTTTGAGCATCTGCCTTACGACAACCGCTGCATCTTTCTCGGAGTATCGACTATCTTTCCTGAAAGAGATTAAAGAAAAAACCATCAAAAATAGTGAAAGAGATGGGAAAGAGAGAGAGATTAGAGAGTGGAGAGATGTTAACTTGGATAATATCCGATCAAGCAACTCGCCTCCCTCGCACAACCTAGAGTAAGGCAAGAGTAAAATGAGAAAGCGGATACATGAGGGCATAAAAATGAAGCAAAATAAAGATAACAAGGAGACTCACTCCATAACTATATACACGTAGTCTTCATCCTCAAAGGCATTGTAAAACTGTACAACGTTCTCGTGGCCTGAAAGAGCTTTAAGTATCTGAACCTCCCGCTTCACGTCCTCAACCGCAATAGGAAGAACCATCTGAGAGCAAAAACCGTGAGTGACCAAAGCAGAGCACGATGCAGTAAGCATGTTGCAATCAAGAAGCTTAGCGATGGAATATATTATCAGTTGATACACCTCGGAGTAAATAAAACAATTTGATGAGTGCTTTTGACAATTTAAAAAGAAGAATCGGTGTTAAATTAAAGGGATCCCAAACTTTATGTTTTCTGTGAATCCATCGATAGAATCAACAGAGAATCAACGGTAGTGGAGACTGAATATATATAAAAATGGAAAGTAGAGAGGATTGAGAGATACCCAGAAAAAGCCCAAAAAAGAGCAAATCGGGGAATAAAAGAAACCCTAAGCGCAGGAGAGGAATCAGTACCTTACTCTTATCGAGTCTCTTAACGGCGACACGATCTCCATTGGACTTGTGGATGGCAACGTAAGTATAGCCGAATTGACCATGACCGAGAAGCTTGCCGATGGAATATTGGTCGTGGAAATCTTTGGCGTATCCAAAGTCGGTACGCTTGCCGCATGGGATCGCGCCGGTTCTCCGCTTGGTAGAGGGCTTATCGTTCTCCTCCTTGGGAATCGGAGCCTTATATGCTTTATCCTTTTTACATCCTTTACGGTTAGTCTGACTACTTCTTCTACTGCTGCTGCTCGCACCAGTTACTCTAATGGCGGAGAAACACACGCCCATCGCTGCCCTAAGACTAAAACCCAGAGCGATTCAAAGACCCAAACAGACAGACGAACTTGGATTCTGGAATTGAGACTAAGAGATTACTCTAATTAATAAACCCAACAAAAACAAAATAAGAGAGAAGAAGAAGAGAGGAAGGAGAAGAGGGTTGAGTTGGTCAAACCCAAAGAGCGAGTGAAGGAGGAAAGATCCTTTGAACTTTCCCCCTTTGCCTTTTCTCCTTTCCTCTTTTAATTTTCTTTTTTTATTTACCCATTTTTCTTTCTACTTATACTTACCCCCCTTTCCCTCTAAAAGTATACAATACAATTTTGTTACATTTTGACATAAGAGAGAAAGAGCGTATTTGGTGTGAAAGCGACGACCAATAGAAGCTCTCCAAGGAGTGGGGCCCGACAGCATCCGGAAAGACATTGCTTGAAAGTTGAAACTCACCACCCAGTTGCATTAAATTATTGCCACGAAATTATTATGCACACATTTATTACATTCAGTAACCAACTCTCTCTATCTATAGACCCAGCCTCGCCTACCTGTATTTTTGGTGTCGCTGTCTTTCAAAATACAACATCTCTCGAGTAATAATATATGGAGTATATGGTATAGAATCAATCAACAGTTCCTTTTTTCCTGGTCTAAGGCGTATACGTTTGGTGTGTCAGTAGTTCTAAGTGAGTTCTTGATCATCAGCAGCAGAGATAGAGGGATATACACACTGAATTATGACTTTAGGGGGGCGAGCAGCGCAACAAATGATCTCTTTCTCAAAACCGGTGTCGGTGAATCACTTTCACGTCCCTCGCCAATGCACTAACCTATTCTTATAACTCTTGCATTGGTACCATTTCCTTAATAATCTATCGTTCGTATTTTAATCATATATTGGAAGTAATTGTTATAAATTTAAATAAATAACCAATATATGGGCATATCGATAACGTGATGTACTTACTGAGCAGCATTATGAATCTTAACTGCTTTGCTTTCTTTATTTTTTATTTTTTATTTGTTTCAGTTGTCCAGATAGAAAAACGTGCGCCATGTTAGCTAAAACATATATACCTCACATGTATAAATATTAGTTATATAGTAATAAATTGGCCCCTTCTTAAGAGTTTTCATCACTAATTAAATTAGCCTACCTGTTTTTCAAGCCGTTCTATGTGTAAGCTCAATCAGTTGATTTGCTCAAAAATCATCGTAGAGGCTTATCGTGAGGTTATATGGTGAATTAGAACCATTCACGCGCTATCCTGTCGTTTCTTTTTACACACCATGACACCCAAAATTGAAGGATATAGTATTTATACCAATTAATAGCATTTGTACTCTTATAAATGTTGTGCCAAACAAAAAACAGAGTATATAAAAATTTTGTGTCAATCTCACGGTCGATAACTTCTCTTTTGCACCTACACTAACTCAGTCTGTGCCATTTCTCATGGTGTTTACCTTCATTCTTTGTCATAAATATCGGTAAAAAGTACTTGTCTCTCTATCAGCGGATTATTTTTTTATTTTAAATTTAAGTTAGTCTTATAATTAAATTATATTACAATAATAATATTATACTTCTGAAAAAAACTTTTTGAGGTCATAACCGATGGGGATGTTTTATGTATACCATAATTTCAAAAGCTTTTCTTAGCAAATCTATAGTTGTAGGCATCCTCTAAAAAAAGGTCACCATATTTGTCTCTCACTTACAACTCTTATGATCACCAAGTAAGTTGCATCAATCTCTCTCCCTCGCCTGACCGCATGCAGGATTTCCACAATACATGCAAGGCTATTATCTTGATTTATTTGGTGAAAGTCTGGACTTGCTGATCCAACCTATTCATGTATTACTGAAAGCAAAAAAAAACTATAAATCTTTCTCTATTTCAGTTTTAGTGCTTCAAAATTTTAGTTAAAAGTCCTCATGTTCCGTTTTCATAGATTTTATCACTTTTTTTGTTTCCCCTTTTTATTGGGTTTTGATTCCTTCTTTTGGATTATGACTCGGGGATATCTTGTTTTTCTTTCAAACATGTATTTCATTTTGGTTTTATTAATATGATCATGACGACAAAAAGATTAAAAAAAAAAAAATAGTCCGCATGCATATGAACTTATTACCGTCATACCTTATCTAATCAAACTAAAGGTATATATATATATATATATATATATGACTTGGTCAACAACGTCGCCGATGCCATTACCGTCCGTGACGCCCATCCACGTCGGCTCCTTTACTTTCCCTCCAGCTATTACATCACCCGCTTCCTCTAAAAAGCTTTTCCTCGGCGGCGCAGGTTAGCATCAGATCATTTAAAGTCTCATGCACGACGCAATTCTTCGAGTTATATATGTTTAAAGATGTGTGGGCTAACTTACGCGCGTACGCAGGGGTAAGAGGGTTTGAGATTGAAGGCAAGTTCGTCATTGTGACGGTAATCGGAGTTTACCTTGAAGCTCTCGCTGTACCGTCACTCTCCGTTAAGTGGAAGGGCAAAAATGAAAAGGAGTTAACGGAATCCATCTCTTTCTTCCGTCAAATCATCACAGGCATGCATAAAACTTTTTATTTACGTGGTGGAACTTTACATCACTGCTTTTGTCTATCCTTCACACGATTTGTGTGTTGCGTACATATATAGTTATATGTCTACTAATTAAGTCGATACGTAATTAATTACATTTTTTTTTTTTTTGGGGGTCTCTTGTGGGGGGAAAAAGGTGTGTTTGAGAAATTCGTAAGGGTGACGATGAAAGTGAATTTAACGGGGACACAATACTCGGAGAAAGTAGCAGAGTACTGCGAGGAGATCTTGAAATCGTCTGGGAAATACACAAAAACCGAGACTAAAGCCATCGACAAGTTCCTGAAGGTCTTCAAAGACCAAGATTTCCCTCCAGGCTCTTCAATCCTTTTCGCTATCTGCCCTAAAGGCTCTCTCACGGTGACTAAGCTTCTGAATTCGTTTATATTATATTATTATCAGTTTCTCTAAAGCTCCAAATTGTGAGAATAATTAATTAACATGATGAGTGAATGAAATAAATAATGTCTTTGTTGTGTGCAGATTGCGTTTTCAAAAGACGAGAAAGTCCCGAGAAGCCGAAATGCAGTGATCAAGAATAAGTTGTTGGGTGAAGCAATCATTGAATCTATGATTGGAAAGAATGGTGTGTCCCCTGAAACTAAGGGCATCTCCAACGCAAGGTTCAAGAGGAGTTCATAGGGACTTTTTAAATTAAAAATAAATCAAAAATGAAATAAAAGCAAAGAACAGGTTCGTTGGGAAGGTTGGGAAGGGCTTGAAGAGTCGATTTTAGAGGGGTTCGTCGATCATGTGGCATTATGCTATTGGCTTTGATTAAAAACAATTTTATTAATTTTTTTTTTTCTGGTTTTTCTCTTTCTCTCTCCATTTAAATGGATTTGGGAAACTGAAATCAGAGTTATAATAATTTATTCTTTTCACTTTTTATTTAATAAAAATTAATAAAATAATCTAAAGAACTCTATTATAGAGTTCAGGGTTGGAGATGGCCTAAGAAGAGCCTCGCTCAGAGATTCTCCAAGCTCATGAACCAACACACAGAAGCCAACACATTTGCTACTGAAAATTAATTAAATCTCCATTCCGACTCGTCAAATTACTTAAGGCTTTCATGACTCAAATAAAAGAAGGGATGATATATATGAATGTTTTATGACAGCTATAGAATGTTATCAACTTAGCTAATTTAATTCATGTAACAAAATATTTATATGAAAAATAATAAATAAAATTGCAACCAGCCATATATCAAAATCATCATTTTTAATTTATAAATATTACAAATTGGTCTTACATAAGTCATAGTTTACAGTGTATCATTTTGTGGTATATATAAGCTAATTATAATAGGTTTATAAAACGGAAAATGTTTTGCTTTTCCGGTCAGGGGATAGAAAAGGTCTTCTCATTGATTGTTGAATTAATAACCCATCAAATCAAATGTTATTGCACAGCAATAGTTGATTTGGTTTTGTTTTGTTTTAATCGACTAAAGACGTGGGTTTACTATGGGCTTACTGAGTGAAGCGTAATTAGGAGCGTAAAGGCCCATAAGCCCTCATCCAAGGAAAGTCCCAACGGCTAGTTTTCCCGAAACGGCTCCTTCCTAATAGTCCCTCACAACGGCTATTTTTTTTTTAAAAAAACCTAATCCTGATGCCTCTCCCTTTAAATACTTAACCCCCACAGCAATTTCTCTCATAGCGTTTTCTAATCTTCTTCGTTCAATTTCCCAGAAACTATTAGCCTTGAGATCTAAATCCACGATGGAGACACCATCATCATCAACCAGAAGAGTCACGAGGTCTCAGACCCTCTCTGCCATTAAAAGCTCTGCCACCAATCATCTCTTATCATCAAGTAAGTCTCTTTGTTTCTCTTTTCCCTGATCTGTGTACATTTGTGTCCATTGAATTACCCGGAATTGGTTTCCCGAGATTTACCCAATTTACATGACTAGTCTCCTAATCTTGAATTTGGGTTCTGATTCTATTGTATTGCATCTGAATCTGATAAATCGTAACCTCCTCTTAGAGAAACCAGATCAGGAGTCGGATAAATTGCAAACGAAATCAAGACAAAGAAAGGGTGCAAAAGAGCGGTCAGCATTGTTGGACATAAGCAACGACTCGCCGATCGTAGGGGTGGCGATGCAGACTCCATCGTCAGGAGTGATGGGGAAGAGGAACGTGAGTAGAATCAAGAGCACTCCTGGCTCAGGCGAGGCTCTCTTGAGAGGCCAAGTCAAGAATCTGTTGCAGAAGGTTGAAGAAGAAGCAGATCTTTCCAAGATTTCTGTGGAATCTCGCCCCTTTATCCATCTCGTTACTTCCCCAATGGGGCTTCTTGCCCCGACTCCGGCCAACACGCCCCAAGTTGCCGACTTCTCAGAGATTGTGATCACATCTCCGGTTGTTGCGGGACAACTGAGAGCAGCATCCTCTTCTCAGGTAAAAACTCCTTATTTGTTTTCTTTCTGGGTTTAATAATCGATCATTAGTCGTACTGAGAGAGAGATTGATAGAAGATATTGGTTGGTGGGTTCTGATCTCCAGGTGGATGAGAGCAACATGATTGAGGAGAAAGAAGAGAGCTTGGAGATGCTAGAGAAGAGTCCGAGCATAACTCGGTCATTGCTGCTGGACTTTAGTGATAAATCAGAACTATGGGAGAGCTCCGACTGCTCCTCTGTGGTGACTCAGAACCCAGAGGATGACAACTCCTCGGTGTGGTCGATGCAGGTCAATGCAAGTACCCAAGGCGAAGAGGATGATGATGATGAAGACCAAGTGTATTCTCACAGTTACAGGGAGGATGATGATGAAGACGAGCTGTGCGAGGGAATGAGGAAGATGAGCTTCGCAGGGAAGCACACTCGGTTTGTGTACGACAGTGAAGATGAAGAGATTGTGGAGGCCAAAGAGCAATCTCCACCACTGTTGCGTTTGAAAGGTTTCCCTACACCAAAAGGGAAACATGTCAGATTCTCCGGCGACGAATGAAACCCTTCCCTCCTCTTTTGGAGTTGTGACAAAGCCTCAACTGTCTCGACTTTTTTCCATACCAATTCTGATTCTTGGGCCTATTGGTACCTCTTGTTATAACACTTGAGTGTAATCGGAATATGAAGTTTTTCTTTTTAATCTTCTCTTTGCTTGTCTTGTGCTGCTAATGTTTTTGGAATACAACTTCCAGGACAGTCCATCAAAAACCCAAAACGAACAAACCCTGATTGAACATCTCATTAATCGTATACAATTAATTGTTATATATAGCACACCCTCCCATGTCTGCGCAAATTAGTCAACAATTGGTTTATGGTGGACTGTTCATTACTAAAGACAAATTATTTGCTTCTTCTTATCAATACAAACCACTGTACTTGGTCAATTCCAAATACATCAAAATTTTATCAATTTTTAATTGTCCGTGAGCTGTATTTTTCGACATAAGAACATCACACAATTAACCAAATCCATGTCGATATTTATATATTGAACCATAAAAAATGTGTCTATATCTAGGGTTCTCAAATCAATTATATATATCTCTTTCAAATTGGCGATGGACGGTGAGTCGGCTCAATGAATTGTATAAATAAGCGTTTATTTATTTATGTATATACATACAAATTGGGTTTTGGTAAGTATGTATATTAAACGCGAGAAAAACTTCCACACATGTGACCATGTGAAAACTTGAGACGTCAGTAAAGACAGAGACCCGAATTCTCTCTATTGAGACAACTCCTTCCAACTCTGTCCCATCTTGTAATTTCATTTATAGACACAATTTCTTTCTTTCTTTCTTTCCCTGCCCATCCCATCGAATAGTATGTATAACTATTAACTACATACTGTATGTATGTCTTTTGCGACTACCAATGAAAGCAAAAACAAAAAATTTGTTATGAAAATTAAGCCACCTAACAAAAAAGAATGCTTTAAATGGCTATTTGCATGCGAATGAATGGGATACCGTCTTAAAATGTCCCGACCATGTTATAAACACACACATTAAATGTACCATTCACCAAAACTGAACTTGACCGACAACTTTTATACTTGTAGTATCATCGATATTGGGACTTGGAATAAGAGAAACAAAAAAAAAAGTAAGCAAAAGACAAACCCGATTTGATAAAAAAACTGCGCCTCTCTATTCGATCATTAGATTCTCGTGTATAAATAAAACCCCACATGCTGAAGAGGACGACACATATCATCATCAATCATCATACTTAAGAATTTGTTTTAGATGAAGACGAAGAACTCCGGCACCGGATTTTGTGTCCCCCGTGTAAAAAGCAACTCAAGAACAACCAGTGATCGGGAGATTATTGTCACTCCCATGACTCTCCTCGACCGTTTTCGCGAGGCCGTTCTCCGCCTCATCATGATCTCCGCCGTCTCCAAGTCCACGTCTCGCCGCCGTAACAAACAGCCATCGACCACTACAGTCCGGTGTCAAAAGTACTATAACCACACCGATACTTATCACAGAGAAGCCGTGGCCGACTGTATCGAGTTTATCAGAACCAACAAGGCCATCGACATCGAAAACCGCCGCTAACGCCGTCACTATTTTTAAAATTGTTTCTTGTTGCCACTTGGTAGATATGTATAACCGTCACCGGTTTGTTGTAGCGGTTAAATTAGTAAATCATCTAAGTTATACTGTAGGTGGGTGAATAAAAAAAGTTACCGTGTTCATGCTTTAATTTGCTTACTATAATTAATTAATTTTAGTAAGGTACTCTTCATAATTTCACAAAAATTTCAAAATACGAGGTTTGTAGACATTTGAAATATAGTCAGTGATTGATACGTGATAACCAAGTTGGTAACCGGTTTATGTCAAGTCAATGACCCGCGGTCAAGCTAAGGCTTATACTTGGAAGCCCGTATGGCCCATTAAGATGTTGGAATGGAAAGCGGTTCAATGAGGCCTCATTAAAGAGCCCATACTCAAAAGTTAGGCGGCCCAAATCGAGAATGGTTGGCATCAGCTAAGACGACGGTAGAAGACGTCGATCAACGTGAAGCCCTAACAGAGGTCACCGGCGATATTGGTCTACGCGTCGGAGAAATGGTTGGTGAGTGTTGTTGGTGTCAAGAGATGTAACTTTGGGCTGTCTCACGTGAGTTTAATTGATTGTCCATTTCCAGGGGCGCAACCCGAGAGAGAGGACCGAGTTTCTTTGGAACTCTCTGAAGAAATTCTTCAGAGCATGGAACCTGGCGCCGTTTTCAGAGACTATGTAATTTCTTCTACTGTTCTTTCCGGAAACCTGAAATCAAGCGTTGATTAGTGCCATCTCTCGCTCAATTTCATCCCTATTTGTTTCTCTGCTTTGAGTTTATTTCCAAAGCTTTATCTCCTTGTGTTGTAATGGTTTTATTTAATTGATAGAGTTTTGGTTTTGCAGAATTGCAGGATCAGCTCGATTGACTTTCACAAAACTTCGAGTTATATGGTGACTGCTAGCGACGATGACTCAATTCGTCTCTATGATGTTGCAAGCGCTACGTGAGTTTGCCATGAGATTTTCTGTAGACATTCCGACCTGGTTTTCAGTATATACCAACAACAACAAAAATGTCTTTTTCGTTTTGATTATTGTAAGGTGTCTGAAGACAATTAATAGCAAAAAGTATGGGGTTGATCTTGTTTGCTTCACTTCGCAACCTACTACTGTCATCTACTCTTCCAGAAACGGATGGGACGGTGAGCCATCCTACGCCAAATTCATGCGTTTCGCTTTGATTCCTCATAATCTAATCGACCTCAACTCTTCGATTTCTGGTTAAGACTCTCTGCGGCTTCTCTCTTTGCACGATAACAAGTACCTGCGCTACTTCAAAGGACATCATGACAGGTGGTTTATGTTGTTGTTTTTTTTCCTCTCATTCTCGCTTATCAACTTAAATACTTTTTCTTCATACCCAAGTGTTGTTGTTATTTGTTAACCAACTTCTGTCCTACGCAGAGTTGTTTCGCTTAGCTTGTGTTCTGGTGGGGAGTGCTTCATCTCCGGTTCTCTTGATCGAACTGTTTTGCTTTGGGATCAAAGGGTGGAGAAATGCCAGGTTAATCACCATTTCTGACCCATAGGTGCCATATGCCAGTCTTACGTCATTACATAATCGGTCATTTGGTTTAACCATAGGGTCTCTTACGAGTCCAAGGAAGGCCCGCTGCAGCATATGATGATCAAGGGTTAGTTTTTGCAATTGCCTTTGGTGGCTACATTAGAATGTTTGATGCCCGTATGTACGAAAAGGTTTGTTATTAACAACAGTTACCAATGCAGTGCAGTGTCTTTATGGACCACTGTTTTCACTTAATCTTGTTTTACATTGAACACATATCTGTCTATTTCTGATTTGTACAAGTTTCCTTGGTTAGGGTCCTTTTGAAATATTTTCTGTTGGTGGTGATCTTTCTGAGGCAAACGTTGTGAAATTTAGTAATGATGGAAGGCTAATGCTGCTTACAACCATGGATGGCCATATTCATGTGCTTGACTCGTTTCGTGGAACACTTGTACGCGTAGAGCTTTCTTTGCTCTTATCTTCTCATTTTCATACGCACGACCAGCATACATACATTCTTAAACCGGGTGTATCTGACATTTTTTTTTTTGTGTGTGTGTGTGGTGTACAATGCAGCTATCCACATATAGTGTGAAACCAGTAGCTGAAGAATCCACATTGGATGCAACCTTCAGCCCTGAAGGGATATTTGTTGTTTCAGGTAACCGTGAGTGAGTTTTAAACCTGATTCGGATGATGCATGCATAAACGATGTGAAAGTAAAACCAAGTCTTTCTAATTTTGCCTCATCGGTTTGGTAATGGTAGGTTCAGGAGACGGTAGTACCCATGCATGGGGTGTAAGGAGCGGAAAACAGGTTGGAGTAGCAATGCAACCGTAGTTGTTCCCTGGAGAGTTTACTTGTTGTATGCTTTATAAGTGTTTTTTGTTCTGAATATGTAGGTTCATAGTTGGATGAGTCATGGCAGTGAAGCACCCCCAGTCATAAAATGGGCTCCAGGAAGTCCCATGTTTGTCACAGGCTCTTCTGAACTTGCTTTTGTTATTCCTGACTTATCTAAATTGCCAGCTTATGCCATCCGGAAATAGGATCAATCAGGACGACTTTCACTGTTGCAATGTGATCTCATGCTCGACGCTCTGGCCATGTACATGACGGAATTTGCTTCTCTGCTGAAGTTGTTCGTCTCGTAACTTATTATTGCTTCACTCGCTCTCATTGTAAATTTAACGATTGGTCTACCCTATAGATAGAGCAAATACCCCCCCCCCCCCCCTATCAAAGATCCTTAAGTGTGAGCCCATTTAGCTATACCAAAATTTTCACCCCAAAGCACCCGAGCAAGTGAGCAGCTCAAGACGATAGATGACACACATTCCTATATGTTCACCTCTATCAATGTAGCACAAATGAAAACACTAGAACTCATTTATCTTTTCATTTTATATCACTCTCTCTTCATTGTGATTTTCCTATATTTTCCTCCACTATGAATTGCTCTGCAAAGTAAAGCTATAGTTATTGAGATCAAAAGCCTCATCTTTTCTATAGTCCCCACCACTTTCC